TCTTGGTGCTGTACATCAATTCATCTAAAAATGATTAACTGAAAAGGGAAGGAAGCTCCCAAAGCTAACGCTAACAAAAGCTAACTGCTAAGCTTGTTGGCTTGGTTGCTAACAACCACATGTCAGGTTTTAGAGGACCCAAATGCAGACCATCCAAGAGTAGGTGAAAACTGTGATTTATTAAACAAAGACAAAAACAACAAGAGAAAATCCAAGAACTAACGAAAACACAGGAGAACAACGAACGGGAACACCCGAACAAAACAGGAGCACAACCAGGTAAACAGGGCCAACTGACACAGACAAAGGGGAGCACAGACACTAAATAGACACCAGGGAGGCAAAGGTGATTGAACACAGGTGAAACACATTAGGGCGGGGCAGACAATCACAAAGGAGGGAAACAGGACAAAGACAGGAAGTAAAATACCCACGAGAAACACAAGGTAGGTTATTACAAAATAAAACAGGAAGTAACCCTCAAGTCCAAATCAAAGAGTCCAAAGATAACAGTTAAATAAATAATAAATAAATAAAATATTGAAATTACATATTAAAGACATATTGAAGAAAGTTGTACGGTGTTGGGTTGTTCTGGTCTATTTTAAGGTTTGTGACTGATGCTACACAGTCCGATGAATCTTCTGTTGAGGTTCACTTCACTGATAAACAAAGCCAATTTATTTTACACATCGTCTCCCACATCAAACAAGTGCAAACAGTTACACACACATTTGGCATTTGGCTTTCAATGTACACAGACATGACAACACACATGGAGATTACACGTATGCACCTTTGAGCTGCAGCGTGTCGTCGTCTACAGGCAACAAAAAAAGCAGATTTTTTTTTTATTTCAGCTAATTTAACATTCTGTTTTCATTTTAATGACTATTTAACAACTATTTAACCACTCCAAACCCATGTGAGTGAAGCATGGAGGCAGGAAATCATTTGTTTTGGACAACTGAAAACAGGCGAAGCAAGAGAGCTACATCAATTGAAAGCTAGCTAGCTAGCCTTGGCTCACCTTAGCTAACGCTAAAATTAAATTCACAACCTTAGCTATTATCTGTCACTGAAACATATAATGAGCTGATATCTCAGTAATTTCGTTAGTTATTCCACATAACTACATGAGCTGATGGCTTAGTCCAATTGTGATGGAGAATAAAAACCTAGCTAAGCTCCTGCTAAAAGTAGCGCTAGCACATGTTAGCAGAGTAAGTTAGCTTTAACTGGCATCTCTTTTTGACTTTTGCAGAATGAATTGAATTAGGTGAGTTTAAAAAAATCCTACATTTACTGTATTTCAAATTTATATTAGTTATTTCAATATCAATATTGTAGCATAAATAGGTATTATATTGCAGTAAATATTACAGACACCTAGCTAAACAGAGATGCATTTAATCTGTGACCAATTGACCAATTAAATTTATTTTCCTAAACAAACAAGATAACATGGAAAAAAAGCTGAAAAAAGAGATTGTGTTACAGTGCAGATACAGTATCAGCATTTCCTAGTTTATGTGGCTAAAACAGCATTAAAAAGCATAAAATAAAGGTAATAAACTTTAAACCCTCTTTCCTTAAATGCTTCTGTAATAGATACCTGCTTCTATTATCTTTAATATACACATATTTTTGCTACTTTCATAATCTTTTTCTGCACAAAGACATACTGAAAATGACTGATTTCATTCATCCGGTCATTGTCTGTGTTTCCTCTGATCTATTTCCCTCTGCTATCAATTTAAATTTCAAATTAGCCTAATAAAAATAAAAAGAAGGAACATCACAAAGCACAACCCCACATTGCATTTGCATTATAAATACCCTGGAAAATTTATCAGTGTGAGAAATATTCAGATTTCACCTGTGAGGCCAGATCTGTGAGACTGTTTCTGTAGTTTAATACTTTACATTTGTGTCAATAATTCTTCCGAAGCCTGTGGAAAGGAGGTATTTCACATAGCAGAGTCTACACTTTCCACCCCCACCCCATCACATCCACCACCACATCTACACCCCCCCCCCCCCCCCTCCATTTCTCTCCACCCTCCTTTTTCTCTGTGATCTCGAAGGGCTTGCTTCACCTCAGTCAAGCTCCAGCGCTCCAGCCGGCAGCAGCATCGAGCTAACAAGTCTTTGTGAGGAGAGAGAGAGAGAGAGAGAGAGAGAGAGAGAGAGAGAGAGAGAGAGAGAGAGAGAGAAAGGAAGGGGGGTGTAGAGCAGAGGAGAATCAGACAGTGAGAGAGCTGACAGCATGAGCAGAGAATGAGGGTGCAAAGGGAGGACGCATAAGATAGCAAGGCAGAGGCAGAAGTGCTCAGTGCTGCACAATAGTGCCAGAGGCTGCTGGAAAGAGAGAGAGAGAGACACAGAGAGAGAGGGAGAGGGAGGGAGAGAGAGAGAGAGAGAGAGAGAGAGAGAGAGAGCAGGCATCATGGCAGCCCTCACTGCATCATCACGACACATGGGGATGTTTGGCTGCTGCTGGTGAACACTGTGTGATGCAGAGGAGAGAGTCGAGGACTTCCTGGAAACCAAAGGCAAGCCGAGGAAACAGGTCAGTGACGGTCAAACACACACACACACACAAACACACACACACACACACACACACACACACACACACACACACAAAGCCTCGACGTGCACGCCAACACACACACACACACACACACACACATACACACACACACACATACACACACACACACACACATTACAGGTTCATACTGATTTACATTTGTCAATAAGAATTCCCCTGTTAGTGTTTTGGGACGTGGGCATGCATGGGGAGTGGGAGGTTGCGCATGCATGCAGACACGTGAGCAGTCTTGTACATGTGTGTGTGTGCGTGTGTGTGTGTGTGTGTGTGCATGTGTGTGTGTGTGTGCGCTCTAAATGGCACCGGTCATGAGAGCTTGAGTGGGAATGTTTAGGTTAAAGCAGCATGGGAAGGCAGCGCAGGAAACCCTCCTGAATCCAAGAGAAACTGCAACACCGTCCATGACATTTAATTTACAGAGAGATATTATTATTATCATTATTATTATTATTATTATTATTATTATATATGTTCAGTGTTTCTCCTGCTGTGGATCTTCTTGTTTTTACTGTTTTTTTTTTTCCTGAAAAGCAACGAGCTGGAGTGAAGGAGTGAATACCTGGGAGGCTGTAGGTAGAAGAGAGTGAAGAGAAAGGGAGATAATAATAAGAAATACTAAAAAAGAAGGTAAGAAACAAAAAGAAATGAGTAACAGAAAGGAAGCTAAGGAAGCAAGGAGGGGGGGTTGTAAGGCAGTAGGTAGTAAGAGAGCGAGAAGGGAGACAAAGCCAGTCAGAGAGGAAAAGCTTGGCCCAGCATTAAGCTCTGCTGCATATGATGTAATCCTCTACCAGTCCAAGCAGTCAGCTCAACAGTTTCTACAAATTTGAAATTTAAGTCTCGACAAAGTGCAGAGGTGCTGGGTGACGCCACATACATCCCATCATCAGGAGCGCTGAGAGAGAACTTTACAATGTGTACAAATCATCTCTTATCACAAAGTGTCATCAGACTCGCAATTTCCCACAAAAGCAACCAATGGAAAAGAGAATATCAGTGTCTCAACATCTTAATGGGTTTAACACTCGATTTGACATGATTCATTCTCTACTTCTGAGGAATCTCAATATTTGGCAAGGTCACCTAACCACACTTAACAGTGGGGCGCTAAGTTCTGCATGAAACATCCTAAAGTTTAGTCCAGATTTCTTTCAGAAAATATAGTTTTCACAGTACTGGTCAAAACATGAGGTCAGATCATTGACTATTTATTTCACTTTCTTTCAAACACTTGCTTTGTGTAGATGCTTTGTGAGTTTATTACAAAGGTTTGTATTAAATCTTTCTAAACTGAGCGGAAGTTCAGTTCATGTAATGGACAAAATGGACTTCATATAAATATTGACCCGAGGGGAAAATGGCCAATTCCCTCTTCCAGTCTATTGAGAATGAACAGGCTAGAGGATGATTGTGTCTATTTATCTCCAAACTTGTTAAAGTGGTTTGATAATCAATTACAATAAGAATAAAGTAGAATTAAATTTTTTAAAAAATGACCACAAAAATACTTTCATTTTTCTTTTCCTTTGTGTCTCCACATCAAGGTTTTCTTTCTTTTTTTAAAAAAAAAAGGTCATATGAAATTCAGTTTTGTGGCTACACAATTGTGCTATTCCAACTAATTCAAAGTTCCTGAGTGGTGACCTTAGTTATTGTACATAAGATTATAGTAATAACATTCTGCACTGACAACACTGAGACCACGCTGCAGGGATGGGAGGCTTAATAGAACTTAAAATTATAAACTCTATTAACTCTATGCAATGTTTCCTGGGGGGGTCGTACAGCCGATTTGCTCCCTAACTAGCACAGGACAGAATAAATAAGGTGTTTATGTAGATTAAATTCCACAGTTTTTCATAGATGAAATGTCTACAGGTGTATATATTTGTAGTGTTAATTTCATTACAGTAAAGTTTTGGGGGAAGAAAAGCTGTACATGCTGTATTATTATATGTTGTAAGTTGATACGGCAAATTCATGGCCAATAGTTGCCTCTTTTACACAGCCATCAGTTATGGAGCCATATTAAGATTCATTTGTGTGTTCACCTCATAAATGTAAATCCAATACTTGTACTATGGTGCATACAGATAGCCAAATAATTACAGCACATGCCAAATAACTGCAACATCCACACCTGACCACACCCCAATACACACATTTTTAAAAATTTAATTTTCCATGAAATAGCTGGAAAAAAAATCGTTAAATATTAAGTACACTGATTAAATAGTTTTGATCTTTAATGGTGTAAATTTTCTAACTTTGTCTCAAAAGCCTGTATCTCTGTTCGTATATTGTAGCATCTTGGATCTGGCTTGTATGATTAAACTTAACTTTGTCCTTTGTGCAGGTGTGACCAAGTGGGAGGAGCCACATTATGAGTGGGATCTTGAAGAGGAAGCTTGAGGAGGGCCCGTCCCCTTACCTCTCCCTGCAGGGGTCTGATGATGACGAGGTTTCCTGCAGCGACAGCGGCAACAGCAGCGACAGTCTCAACCATCCCGTCCCCTCCGGACTGCTGGACTGTAAGATCACATTACCACACTGCTCATCAGTGTCAGCAGCTCCAGATAGTATGTTTTGGTGGAAGTGGAAGCTCTCATAATACCCTCTTTAGTGTCATTTAACAATAACTGTGTATAATTCTGGTTAAACAAAGGTGATAAAAAAAATTTAAAACAAGGGGAACTATTCAAAATGTGAAAAAATCTAATTAAAACGCAAGGATGCAAGGATCTATTGTAGGACCACTTTTGTTTACTATAAACAGTGTATGTTGCCACCGGGTCACATATTAAGGATATCTGACATTAAGTTTGACCTCTACGCTGATGACACACAGTACACAGACATGTATATGTCCCCCTGAAACCTGGTGACACTGCTAACATAACCCAACACTTGTCATGTCTCTTACAAATTAAAAGATGCTAGGGGTCTCCTGGCTCCAGGTCATTTTATTCTGACGAGACAAATTGATCCCATCTTTTAAATAACTCAAACTCATTTTTACCAGAAGGCCTTTTTATATTACCTGACTTTTTACCAATATCCATTGAAATTCAGTTTTTATTTACACAATAAAGTTTATTATAATTATCAGGTATATTAATGCGAGACCAGTAGCTTATGGTGGCTAATGTTAGCTAATGTTAGCAAACTTAAGGTATTTTATAACACAGACAAGGTTTAGTCAGTTTGTTAACTTAAAAACTGAAATTGAAATGTCTGTATTTGTGCTAATGTTAACACGGTGTTTTAGCATTTACAATATCTTTTGATTTTATTCATGACAGCTCTTAAACTAGCATTTACTTGCATTTCAAAGCGCTAATTAAAGTTCAGACTCACCTCTCTGTCTCACTTTCAGCTTCTCTGCAGCAGCAGTCAAAGCGACTCCGGGGTCGCAATGTGCACTTTGAGAGCGTGACAGTCTACTACTTCAACCGGCGGCAAGGCTTCACCAGCGTGCCCACACAGGGCGGCAGCACCCTGGGAATGTCACCACGTCACAGCGGGGTGAAGCGCTTCACCCTCAGGGAGTTTGCCATGGAGCAGAAAAGGAGCCACCGCAACATGCTGAGGGATCATCTGAAAGAGGAGAAGCTCAATGCCATCAAACTCAAAGTCTGTGGGACAATTGAGGCCTCATTTACCTGCAGTGTAGCAAATTCTTTGCACAATAATATACACTCTGTATGTTTTGTAATCCTCTGTACACGAACATTCATGGTCCAATCTTAATTTAACTTTCTTTTTTTGTCGTCCAGCTGACTAAGAATGGCACCGTGTCATCTGTAGAGGCAGATACCTTGACACTCGACGACATCTCTGAGGACGACCTGGATGTGGACAACACAGAGGTGGATGATTACTTCTTCCTCCAGCCTCTGACTACCAGGAGGCGCCGCGCCCTCCTCCGCTCCTCCGGGGTCCGACGCATCGACGTGGAGGAGAAGCACGAGCTGCGTACCCTCCGCATGTCCCGAGAGGAGTGTGGGTGCCGCTGCCGTGGGATATGTGACCCGGAGACCTGTGCTTGCAGCCTGGCCGGCATTAAGTGCCAGGTAAATGGAACTGTGGTGAGGCCTATCTATAATACTAAAGTGTTGTTCATGTCTGTCTGTGCAGTAAAACTCTACAGTTACAATAAATTCAAAATCAAACACGGGCAGTTAACCGTTGTTAGCACTACCACATGTATGTAAGTCTTCATTCGAATCTCAGCGCAACGTATGAGTGTTACAGGACAGATGACTCAGCATGTGTTGAAAGAACATGAATAATAATAACATAATAATAAGAATAATAAACTATGGTGAAGGCCGACTGGTAAAACAATGATTCCCTACCTTTGAAGCAGTCGTGAAGTCCTATTGTCTATCTATTCCTCAATTATTTATATTACTTTAGTTCCTAAGTCCTAAATATTCTTTCCCGGGACACGACTTGATGCACTTTTCATTTAGAACTTCATAGTTTCAAATAAAACCTCATATGTTTCCTTCTACTGCTATTTTTGTTTTTTTTTCCTGGTTATGTCGAATCCTGTGTTCGTAAACGTATGAAAACGGGCACAACAGTGACTATTGGCCACTGGTCATGTCTATACTTTTATTTGATTGGCAGCAGAAATACAAAGGTTTACCTTATTACCTAGCAACTGCGATACACATCCACGACCCCACTGTGAATTCAGGTTAGCAAGAGTGTTAGTCAGGTAGAAAGGGTCAGAATAGATGTGCTAAATTGCTAACTGTACAGATTTAATGCTTTTTGGGTTTGTTAAAAGAGGGGAAAACAAGGCGATGACATGCTTCACTCAGTAGCGCACCACAAATATGTTTATCCTCTTTTGAAAAACAGAAAACTGGTTTATATTTTCTCATAAAAATCAAATGTCAGTTTGACTTTTCTACCATTTCCAAGGGGGCTCACGACTTTAGTGCCCTCCGTCTGAAATCACAGTTTCAGACAGTTTCTGTGCACATCACTACATCTTAGAGACCTTTTCTGGTGAAAACGCAGCTTTATTTTTCGACTTATTTATTATTGAATTTATCCTCAAGGATTTTTTAAACCAAACGGGTGAATTATTCTTTCAATGCGTACAGTAGACTGCCATGTAATCATTCAGTTATTTAAATTTAAGTTAAGATTTTCAGGGTCGTGATGAATGAAACCAACAGTGGACTCTGCGGCTTCTCCTCAAGCATGACCAGCTCTGGCCGGCAGCTGTGTTTACCTTTGCTGTTACTGCTGTCCCACACTTGTGTATTGACCTGTGATGTTTGTCTTCAGGTGGACCGCATGTCCTTCCCTTGTGGCTGCACCAAAGAAGGCTGCAGCAACACCACGGGACGCCTGGAGTTCAACCCGGTCCGCGTCCGGACCCACTTCCTGCACACCATCATGAAGCTGGAGCTGGAGAAGAGCCGCGAGGAGCAGCATCAGCAGCAGCAGCAGCAGCCGGAGCAGCAGCTTGTAACCAATGGCAACGGTTACCATGGCGACTCCTCCTTGGTCCAGCAGCAGCAGCAGCAGCAGCAGCCGAACCTGCTTTTTCCTCTGATGAGTAGCACGCCGCACATTCCCATCATGCACCTCCAGAACACAGGCGACACGGATTCACATCTAGATGAAGAAGAGGAAGAGGAGGAAGAAGAGGAGGAGGAGGAGGAGGAAGAAGAAGAAGAAGATGAGGAAGAGGATGAGGATGATGAAGCATATGAGGAAGATGAGGATGGCAGCAGTGTTTGCAGCGGGCTGTCAGACTGCAGCACACACAGCTTAGAAACAATCGACCCCGAGGAGGGAGAGGAGGACGAGGAGGACGAGGAAGACGATGACGAGGAGGAAGAAGACGAAGAGGAGGAAGATTGGGATTGTTCATTACATGGAACAAGTCCTCCGCCCTACTCTGTTCCACTTCCTTCTGTGCTGAGTTACTCTAATAACACACTCATGAGCCTCAGTAACCCCTTCCACAACACTCCCTCCATGCAGCACTATCAGATAGACAGCTCTGTAAATGACACTCCTGCTTTTCTCAGTGAAAATGTCACCGTCACTCCCACGCTCCCCACAGTAGAGACCGCATTAGAGTCTGAAATAAACACAGAACTCCACTGCCGAACACTCTCCGACCCCACAGATTCCCTGACACTCCAAACTTGCTCACATGCAGACACCCGTGAGACTGACGCTGCACCTGCTGGAGCGGCCGCCAAACAGCCGCTCTCCACAGACCGCCAGAACAATCCAGACGACCATGAGTCACAGACTGAGGCTTCGGCTGGGTCTCTGGAGCAGACAGGGGAGGAAATAAAAGAGCCATTACAGGAGCGACTGCAAATGCAAGGAGCCTTGGATGATGAAAAGACAGACGCATCTTTCTCAGAGAGTGTCTGATGCTTTAGAAAGGGATAGGTTGTTATTTGGAAACCTTTATTCAAGAATTGTGACCTTCAACCATCAGAGTTTGATTTATTCTTGATAAGTGCACTTCCAAAGAGAAAAGAGTCATACAGACGGCTCGAAGAGGTGATCTAATTTTAGCTCAGTTTGTCTCTAAACCTTTTCAAAATTGTTGGTTTGGATAAATGACTATAAAACTATAAAATGGTCGTTGATTAAGCTCAATAAAACAGTGTTTCTGTAAGTTACCTGTAACTACATGGAGTATCATTTTGCCCTGTTATAAAGTCTTTGATCATTACAGCATGTTTTCTGGTTGTGACTGGCATCTATGACAAATCTGTGAGATTCTGAGGTGCTTGTATTGTTTCACTATTTTCCATTGTTGTTGCTGGTGTCGCATTCTTGCTGCTGATCGTTCTGAAATGCCTGTCTGTAAAGCATGTGTTCATTTTACCTGAGGTGTTTACACAAACTGTAAAATGATAAATGAGGTCACTGGCAAAACACTGACATTCATGTGAATTATTACCAACACAATGCGTTATGTAGCTAGCTACAGCTATTGGATCGATTGCTTCAAATTTGGTACATTGGACATTTACATTCCACACAGAAGTAATTTTAATAACTTTGGACATCCCTTAAAGTGGCTATAAATAAATATTTTTATATTAACAATGCATCACATGACTATGTGTATGTGTAAGGAGTGATTAATTATTACCCAGCGCGAGCAGCGTTAGCAATCTGCCTGTGAAGAAAGTGGAGCATTTAGCAGAGCCAGATATTTCCCTCAGGAGTTGGTAGAGACTAAAAACAGAGATAAAAAGAAGCTTCATTCATCATTAAATACAACTCTAAATGTTTCTCAGTATCTGCTGGTTGTGTGAATCGGCAACCGTTTGCAAACAAGTTAGCAATAGCAACTTGACGTGATGATGTCAGTGTATGCAGCTTCTGGAGGCATAAATTATTAAATTATTGCAAATTTCACTTTGTCCAAAACTTATGATTAAATATCTGCACAACTTATGACATTTACTTATGCACTAATAAGAAAAAACTGAGACGATAAACTGCTAAACATCAGCAGGTTAGCATTGTCATTGCGAGGATGTTAGCATGCTGACATTAGCATTTCTTCACAGTAATTTCTCAATCTAATGAGTCTTTCCTGTTTATTTTAACAACATCACAATCACTATCTCTGTAGCACACAAAGGCATTTATTGATATAAACACAAACATGTGTCTGTGCATGTTATTTATCATTTTACAGTCATCTGAACAATGTGATAAAGCTGCAATTTTTCCAGGTTTCAGATGAGTTCAGGCTTGTGTCAGAATAATTAAACTTTGTCTCTCAATACTGCCGACAACTGGGGGCCAAATATTCTTGTTCTGTACATTTCCATGAGAGTGTGAATAAAAAAACAACTTTTTAACATCCATCTCAGTTTATAGGTGGTTAATTAATTGTGTTGGTGGTGAGTTGAAGATAAAACTTTAGCAAATTATATCATAAAATTGACATTTTAAGACTCAGATGATAAAATAAAATAATTTATGTGATCAGGGCAGAGAAGCATTTTATTTTTCTACCAGCAGATGGCGTCTGTGGCTTAACATCTAACTTCATCTTGATTGCCACTGACATCCTCCATCATGAGGAGGTTAAATCATGTTTTTCTGACGTCAGTAAATTTGTTGATTCTGCCTCAGGACAATCTGTGACATTGGTTTTGCTCATAGCATCTGTTCTCTGACAGGAAACAAACAGGATTTCAACCATTTTTCTGCACTGAACCCTAAAGAAAATGTGCATAAAAGTCAGTCTGCAGGGGTATTTTGACGTCAGCACACACCTGTATCATTCCACATGGAGGATGATCTGTCTATCTGTCATGTCACCCTGATGTCCCATTCCTATCTATTCTCCTCCAGTGCTTCCACTTTGAATTGGTTGCACCTTGTCGCCTCTAGAGAGCACTGCTGAGTTAACACTGTCCTCGGCTGAGGCAGAGATCAGACAGTGTGTTCCAGCTGATTCATGTATAGAAATATTTTCATGGCTCATTTCATAACCACACAACAAACAGGCTCTGCAGCAGGTGCTGTGCACAATAGAGACTAAATGCACGTGGACATACAGCAATGGTGCTCAAATGAACTGTAGCTATAGGCTGTACACTGGATTTCATTAGGAACACAAGGTCATCAATTGACCTCTCCTTTTCTTATATAATCAAACTGTCAAGGTGTGTGTCCACTGAGTCGGGGGCTGGCACAGGGAATGCATGCTTTTTTTTTGCCAGCAAGGTATTGTGGGTAAGCAAGCTAAGAGATGCTGCTGATCAATCACAGACAGGGGAGCTGTGATGTTAGGTTGCCAGGCAACAGGAAGGGGGCAGCAGGCACAGAAGCTGCAAAGCGTTAGGAGGGGGCTGCTGCTGGGTGGGGGTAGTCTCAGCTTTTTCACCTCCGTCTCCCTCTCGTCTATCCCAGCACCACCTTCTCCTTCTCCCTGTACATGTCTGATGGTAGCTCAACAAGACACTGACTGTGATATGTGACTATGTTATCTACAGCAAACACTAAATATGTTGATTAAGGAACATGTGAAAATGCTAATATATATAGCACGTTTAAAGGACGTACAGTTCCTTCAGCAAATTCTAACACACAAGGGCGTAGGTTTGGTCTCAACATTGGTAGGGACACTGTCAACCAAACGGTTTATTAACATATATAAGATCTGAATTTACATTCAGAAATGTATTTATATTTAAATAAAACTATGCCGTATCAGATCAAAGACTAAAAGTTTAGGAAATTATCATGTGTTATATATAATAACTTACAAGTTAACATCAGAATAGGTGGACTATGGTTATGTTAAATATAAATTAGTAATTTAGTTAATCCATAATAGCATCTATTTAATCACACAATCATTTTAAAACCTCACTTAAAGCCCTGAAGCTGCGTCTGTTTCCTCATCAGCCTCCTCTATCTGCTGCCGTTATTTTATCTGTTGTTCCAGCAGACAAAATAATTAATTCATGGTGACATTTTCATGGGATTTCTCAGAAAACTAAAACTAAAGTCATAGAATCTAATAACACATAAGCCAATATGTTCAATTTAACAGATATTTGGAACCGATATGCAAACAGAAAACTACTGCTACATAAGGACTCTCTCTCGCCATGACGTCAAGGTGTTTCTATTGTTTTGTCCACCCCATTTATATCAGTGAAAATAGGCTAAACAACAGAAACACCTCTGTATAATGTAATACAGCTCCACACATTACATCCTCTATATGATCATACAGTTGAATCAACAACTGTCTAAAACTATTTTAATAAAAACTGAACATTATAACCTTCATGAAGGATTAACTGCTGAGTGTATATTAGTAATTATCAGTTGTATGCAAAGGCTGCAAAGAGCCTGACTGTAATTGGTTGATTTCAGTGCTGTTGTCACTTGGGAACTGATTCACCTGGTAACCGAAAGACGCTCTTTAATTTAACAGTTTTATCATATATTATTATTATTATCACCATATAACATGTTTTACCCCTCCCCTTTTAAAGTGTAACACGTTTACTCAGAGACATTTTAACTGACTCACTTTGTACTCTGAGAACATCTTTACTTCTACTGTAGTGTAATGTCTTTTCAGTAACAGTTAGTGACCGTTGACGCACTGACGTGCTGACGTCAGTGATGTCTCATCTCCAGTCTCTGGAGTTTCAGTTACTGGTAGAGTTTATTGCTGCTGTCTACTCTGAACACAGTTAATGTTGCTGTTTACTTCATCACAGTGACTAACTACCTGCTGTACATTTAAACTTACACTAGTTCTGCTCCAGCACCCAGAACTCTCTGCTCCTTTTCGCGACTTTCACTAATTCAGCAGTTGTTTACATGCTGTTCAGATGTGCTAGTTACTTTAGCTTAGCAGTTAGCGCTAGCTTCTCTCTCTCTCTTGAACCAACAGGTGACCTAGTTCATCAGAGTGTGGTGTTGTTGTAACTTCAGTGTGGAGGATCGTGATGTTTGTTACGGCTTCAGTGATGTCTGCAGTCTTACCTTCGACACGCAGCTGTACAAATCTGTTTGCGTCTGTGTTCACAGCAGCTTTCAGCGTGATAGGCTGCTACTCGTGACGTCTAACCAATCAGATGGTGCAGTGGGCGGACAGACTTCAGCTACCGACTATTTATTCGTGACGTCAAACCAATCAGATGTTTGCTGTGGGCGGGACAGGCGGCTGCAATTTTTAAATTAATTTATTTTATCGGTTGTTGGTTAAAGAAAATAACGATACCAATAATCGGAAAATGCTGAATATCCTTACTTTTTATTTATTTATTTCAATTTTAGGATGAAGCCGGCTTATTTTTTTCCTTTAGATATTTGACTGTTATGATTCACTGCACATTATACAACTGTGCAGAAACATGATTAAAAGATGTTGGGTTATGTCAAAAATAAACCTTTTGGGGCTGAAAGCTCAAGGAGAAATCTAGTAAGTTGATCTTGAGTGAAGAGTTGTTATTATTTTACCAACTGCTATTTCTAAGGTATAGAATAAACTCAACATGCCTTCTGTAGTTTTAAACCTAAGTTTGTAAAATAATTTGTTCTTGTGTACTATCAGTTTCTAAATATTTTTCTGCAACAATCATGTAAAAGACATCCATCAGTGTCACCCTGGGAGTCGCATCTGTCTATAATCAATAGCTTATCCTCAGTCTGTAAACAGACCATCATCTCAGCAGCTACATAACTGTTTAAACCTCATTGAATATGCTGAGCCTCTTACCTCTCTCCATCATGAGTCCAGCAACACGAGCTCTCACCTCAGAATGAATGCATCCTGCAATGCAAAATATGCTTCCCAAAATAGGTTTTATTTTGGAAATCTAGATTTTGTGAGTTGTTGCCACATCTTTGGTTATAACAAAAAGAAATGTCACTTGTCACATTTTGCAAATTGATACATAGTTAAGTGTAACATGTACTTGAACCACATGAATGATCCTGTTCAACCAAAGTTCCCGCCATGTTTAGCAATCATACTTCAGGTTCAGATCACAGACCAAAGAGCTGATGTCACTCACAGAAAAACAAAACAAAAAACCTTTTGAACCACTGAACAAAGAAAACGCTGGAAAGTAAATGGAGAAAATAAACAAGCATTTACAAAAAATATGTCCTTTATTCTTTTGGCTTTAAAATTATATGACCATATGAGCGGACAGTAGTCACTTCTTGCATGCAGTTCACTAAAACACTACAAGCGCAATGAGAGATGGCTACTGATTGCTTCATGGTTTGTATCTACAGATATGGGGACCATACATGTGTTTCATCATGTGTTACAGTGCAGAACGGAAAAAAAAAACTGTTCTAGAAAAAATGTAAATCAAACCCAAAGACTCATATGGAAAAATGGACTCATATCTACAGTAAAAATGTTATTTATATCAGTAGAACATAAGCAACCCGCAGACCCCAGTTGCACACAAACACACGCCTGCTCACATAAAGAGAGATGCTTACATTCTCACTCTCCTTTCTTACAAAACACACACATGGACGTACGAAGACACACACTCACACGCTCTCTCTCACACACACACTTACATGTATGACCGCCACACGTGGTATTACATAGCAGTGGGGATAAAAAGTGCTCTTACATCAAATGTAAGTGTGATGCATACTGTGGGCCCAAATAGCGATATTATTTACAAACCAAACCACTACATTAAAACCACTCGCTTCTCAATTTTAAACAACATGAAAAACATTTGTGATATTATAACTTTTAAATGTGATATATTGTCGTGTTCTAGCTTAAGAGCAGTTAGAAAGATTGACATTTTCTTTTTAAGTATATTCAGATATTTTCTTTACAAGAGCTCTGGGAGATGTGAGGGGAAGGGGGGTGGAGGATGAAGGGGAGGACAACGAATGCATGGGAGGAGACACCGCAGTATGACAGTGGATGAACGAGTAGATGTGAGTGTCACTTTAAGGAAACCATTTTGACATTTTGGGAAATATGCGAATTAACCTAGCTGTAAAGAGTTAGATTAGAAGATTGATACCATTCTCATATTTGTATGTTAGCTAACTTAGCTTAGCCTGTAAAAAAAACAAGCCCATAGGTCGTCTGTGCCACAGGTTATTATGACCCATAGTTACATTTTGTTGCTAGGCGACATCTAGTGGTCGTAGTGATTATGACAGAAGGAAGAAGCCCGGTTCGATCCCCATGTGAAAGTAGCAGTTTATGTTTTCGTTGTTATTATTGTAACCGTGACAACAAAGATCGCCTGATCTTAAGGAAGCACGATCTTTTCCTAAATATAACCAAGTACTTTTTGTGCTTAAACCTAACCAAGTCATGACCGTTTATTATTGTAACCACGGCGACAAAGGGGGCATTATTTCAGGAAACACTCGTGTGGGTCGTATCAGAGGGTTGGAACAAATGACCTATGTAGTGGTTAATGTTGGAGGACTGGTTGTTAGCAGAGACTTACACCCACAGAGAAATAGTTCCATGTAACTACAGATACAGCAAAACATCAACAATCCACATTCAGTACAGTTTTCTCTTCACGTGAAACTACCAGTGATATTTTATAAGCTAATGTGACCGTACGTCCCTGAGCGGCTCAGGGATCTTATTAGCAATGAACTTTTTGTAAGTGGCATTTAAAACACTCCTGGAGGAGCTAGCATGTGTGTGTGCCATGCACAGCTTAAGTTGTTAGCTTAGCAAGACTGGAAACAAGAGGGAAAAAATCAGCTTGGCTCCACCCCTGCTAAAAGCTACCGCTAACACTCTCATGTTAAGCTAGCATTACCCTAAACTTACCGTACAGTATAGCCTACTGTATGTTATGGAGGATTTAGACATTTCAACACTTTTTGTCAGGAGGACATTTTGCTTTTTATTACATTGACAGCAGCTACGGCTATCGACCGATATCCTAATAATCAATATCAGTATCAGGAGAGAGAGACAGTGGGGTTAAAGTAACCACAACTTGTTGCTCTTACATTTTTGTTTGTCTATGGTTTAAAAAAGCAAAACAAGATATGATAATTAGTAAACTTTAAAGGTGCTAGCAGCTGTAGCATTATCCAGGCTAGCTCAGTGTTAACGCAGAGTTAAGCTACTGGTCTGCTGCTTCTAGCTGCATGAGCGTGATATCAATCTTCTCATCTAATTCAGTTGCTACTGAGCATCGTAAGAATTTCCCAAAAATATCAAACCTTTCCTTTAAGAGTATCTCATTCCTTCAGCTTGCATACATTCAGCTTCTCTGCACTGAGAGACTTGTGTTTTCTACTGAAGTGGGGCGATGGCAGTCCAGATAGAAGCACAGCACAGATTTGAACAACCACTGATGGCACACCAGTGAAAAGAATGTATTTGTCCATTGTAATTCAGCGGTATGTTTGTTGGTTCAGCCTCGTATATACTGTGTGACCGAAGAGCGCTCTGGCACTGACCCTGCATTGTGCTGGTTTCAAATGGTTGTTGTACGTTTCCAGCATCGACTCTTCTCTGCCCTTGGTGATTTTACAACAGTGAAAGCTGCGGACACATCCGCACGATAAGGACACAAAAAAGTAGAAAACATTCTTTCTCATAAAAAAAGAAACGTCGTAACCAAAATAAATGAACCAAAAAAGAAAATGCAGAGTACTTGTGATACAGCGATTGTTAAATTCAAGACACTGGATTTATAGTAGTAGCAGCAGCACTAGCTACAGACAACTTAACAGTGCACACAGTACAGTGTGTCAGATAGTAACAACAACCAATAGGAAAATCACAAGCGTTTTGCAGAGAGGCTTTTCCAAGTTCCACTCGATCTCTGGCAGTGTCTGCTGGATTACTTGTTTCCCCGTGAGAAGACCCCACATATTCATCAATGACATAACCACACTCTAACTTTAGGCCTACCTGGCACAGCATTCCTCAGCTCTTAACAATCAGCACACAAGCGTACATCTACTGTATCTACCCCCCCCCAGTTAGAAGCTGTAAACAAATTTCCCTCATGTCTCTGATGCATTTTATTTTTTTTTGTTCCTTTTTAAAAAGTCTATTTCTTTCGCTCTTTCAAGTCTTTGCCTTTGTTTTCTTTTTCCCTATTCTCTTTCTCGTATTTGTCCTTGTCTGATTTCGTCACACTGTTGTAGGAGGGCGGCGAGGCTGTGGAGGGGGTCATGTCCGTTTTGTCCGAGGTGGAGTTCTCAGTGAACTTGCTGATGACCATCACGTCCTTGTCCGGGTCGCGGACGCCCTCCTTCAGCCGCTCCTTGTAGAGGGCGGAGGCCTTCTTCATGGCTAGACGGATCATGTAGCGGCGGAACGCTCTCTGGATGATGACGGCCGACATGTCCTCTTGTTTGCGGCGGAGGGTGGTGGTGATGGGCTCGTAAGACACCTTGGAGGGGTTAGAGGCCATGAAGCGCTCCTCCATCTGCCCGCGCAACACGTCCATCTCGCCGCCTTCACCCAACACTCGCTTGGTGAAGGCGAACAGGATGTCGAGGCAGTGGATGCGCTCGCCGCTGACCATGGGCAGGTCCATGGAGATGAGCTGGATCATGTTCGGCTTGGGCATGCGCAGCGGCGGATCTAGAGCATCTGCAAAGTCAGAAAGCTTGCTGTACTCCATGAACTGAGTGGCGTCTGGGTCGAAGCGCTCCCACACTTCGTAGAACATCTCAAAGTCGTCCTCGCTCAGCGGCTCGGCGCTCTCCTCCGTAGCCACGCTGAAGTTCTCCAGGATGACGGCGATGTACATGTTGACCACAATGAGGAAGCAGATGATGATGTAGCTGACGAAGAAGAAGATGCCCACTGATGGGTTGCCACAGTTGCCTTTGTAGGAGTTGCCCGGGTGCTCCATCTGGCTGTCACAGTCGGGCTCCCTCTTGTTCAGTATGGGCGCCAGCAGGCCGTCCCACCCGCCTGAGGTGGTAATCTGAAACAAACAAATCATACTGTTCCCGAACGTCTCGAAATTGAACATGTCATCGATTCCCGCCTCGCGCTTGACGTAGGCGAAGTTGGACATGCCAAAGATGGCGTAGATGAACATGACCAGAAAGAGGAGGAGACCAATGTTGAACAGGGCGGGGAGTGACATCATCAAGGCGAAGAGAAGCGTCCGGATGCCCTTGGCGCCTTTGATAAGACGGAGGATTCGGCCTATTCTGGCCAGGCGGATCACTCGGAACAGCGTCGGGGACACAAAGTATTTCTCGATGAGCTCGGATAAAAACATTCCTGCAAAAGCAAAAAAGCAAAACGAACAAAACGTTAAAGACACAGTTTCTATCTACAACTCTACTGCGAAGCCGAGACCCATTGAAACATCTCCTCACCTACGATGGACAGGATCACCACCACAAAGTCAAATATATTCCAGCCGATGGTGAAGTAATAGTGACGCAGGGAGATCATCTTCAGCACACACTCCCCGGTGAAGAGCACGATGAAGACCAGGTTGATCCAGTAGAGGATTTTGTCCATGTCCGGCGTCTGGTCGTCCGTCTCCACCATCATGGTCACCATGTTGAGGCAGATGAGGATCATGATCACGATGTCGAACGCCTGCTTCGTGATGAAGTCAAACACGCAGCCTTGAAATGCATTCTGAGGGGAAAAGGAGGACAAGGAGCAGGGAAGCGTTAAGATATGTTACACCGCCACATGTGGTCCGTAGAGACGAGCACGGAGGATTCTTACTGTCGGCCGAGGGATAGGTTTTTGAGGTTTCTTGGAGCCCAGCTTCTTCATGGCGTTGTAGTATTTCTTCTGTTCTTCTGTCATGAAGATGTCCTGACCTCCGAAGTAAAAAGGGAGCACAACAAAACCTGGTTATAACCACGTAGGAGGAACTCTTTTAACAAGCAACGTGAACACCAGAGGAACCGCCCTGCGTGCCGAGGGGTGTGCTAGGTGTTAACACGTATCTGGATTTTGTGTTGAATGATATTATGTGAGGAATAAAACTTGATCAGAACAGGAGTATGAGTATTTGAGGATGCCCCTGAGAGTAATTCTATCCAGAGTTGAAACAATTAGTCAATTAATCAAATAGTTACTGATCGTTTTAATTGTTTAGGTGATTTTTAAAAGCAAAATTCCAAAAAAAATTGAATCGTTTTCTCTGGTTTTCATGATTGTAAACTAAATTTTATTTGGTTTTAAACTTCCTGTAACTTTGTGATGTCACAACAAAGCAGAAACCAACAGGTCTGCGAGCCAATCAGGAGAAAGTGAGCTGATAGAAATATAGAAGATTTCAGGTAAAAACACTCAGAGAAACCAAATCCTGCAAGGTTTGGATGGTGGGTCCAGGTGGGCGGGGCTTGGTGACTGCTTTGTTGTGACATCACAAAGTTCCAGAAGTCCTGACGGCTGGTTTTAAGGCTCAGTTTCTGAATACAGGCTGTGTGCATTTCTCTGTGGACTGAGGCTTTGATACTTTCACAGTATTAATATAGAAGCTAGAGCTGATCTATAATCACACTACACATGGACACAGACCTGTACACTGGAGGAGCTTTAAATATATTTCAGACTTTCTGTCTCAAGTAATGCCTGTCAAAAAAAAACAAATTATTTCCAAACATGTCTACATTTCAGCCGACACAGTTACTATGTTCTCATTAATCAAAGATATGAATCCCAGGCACACATCTCACTCTCAGAGCTGCTCGGTGAATGTGTGATACGTCTGGAGGGAAGACTGGTGTCAGCAGTGAACCACCATCTGTGTGACGCTGTGGCTGTGGGGCTGCTGAACCACACCAACTGATGTGGTGTCTCAGTCAGTCAGTCAAATCAAGTCAGACCTGCTAGCACACAGCAAATGCAGTGCAAGCCCCCCCCCCTCCCCCTCCTCTTCTCTGCTCTGCCTGTCATGTCATCCTCCACCCCCCCCCTGCTCCATCTCTTGGGCGTTGCCACTCCTACTAGTTAGTGCCTTGATGAAAAGAGGCCAGATTTCCAGACTACATGCACTGTGACACCGCAAGTGTATATGTGTGTGTGCAGGCAGGGTGTTTCTCAGTGACTCATGCACCCTCACTAATCCTCAGCAGCGGCAGGTCCTCACCGTGCTCCAGATAATCATTAGTCTGTAGCTCAGTTCTTTCTTTAACACAGCCGTGGGTCTGCTGCTTTGGCTAAATCTGTGCCTCAGCTGCTTTTGTACCCAAGCTTCGAATGTGCAGGACCTGGTACCTGCTGGTCTCCCGTTGCAACGCAACAACACGGCAGTTGTGTGTTACTGGAGTTTGATCTTTATTTTGAAATATTACTGCATCTCCAAAAGCTTCAGTTACAAGTTTGACTGGGTAATCCATCACATTAATTCAGTTAATTTAATTTTTTGTTGCTGCCGGACGTATAAAACATCCGTCTGAATCTCATGCTACAGCACGTACTAACTGAATAAAGTGTATTCTGTGTTCTAATCTTTATATTTTGTTGTAACTATATAAGACCTCAACAACTACCACGACTCACACCTGTGTTTGATTTTTTTCCAGGTGACCATGGAGTTTAAGGTGGTAAACATGAAGTCGAACATCCCATGTTCAAATCTGGACGAGGCCGATATTTAAAAAGTAGAATTCCTTCATTTTGTACGAGTATTTTTTAAATATATAAAATAACACACTGAAGCAGTGAAGCAGTGGTTGGAGGAGATAAAATAAGTCTAAGAGTGTCACTTAATGCAACTTATCTTCTTCTTCTGCTGGTTGAAGTTGTCGATGATGACACCAATGAACAGGTTGAGGGTGAAGAAGGAGCCGAAGATGATGAAGATGACAAAGTAGAGGTACATGTACAGGTTCACTTCATATTTAGGCTGGTCCTCCAACTGCAACGAGCAAGAGAAATGTAATTGTGTCACACTGTTCACGCAACCGGACATGAAAGCTCAGTAAACGGATGCGTTGGGCACAGACAGACTCACATTTCGAGAGTCCACGGCTGCGTACATGATGTCCATCCAACCCTTAAACGTCGCCTGAGAGCAGATGACAACAGAGAATGTGTTGCAACCGTCCCCACTGCACCATACTTTTTTAAATCCCATGTGCCAGTGTTTACTTACAGCCTATTAAACTGGTACACGTTGTTTTTGCATACGTATATTTATACTTTTTATATTAAGGTTAAACTCACGACTTGCAACAGAGCCAGGTAGCCGGCACCGACGTTGTCAAAGTTGATTTTGACATTCTTCCAGCGGGCGCTGTCGTTGACCAAGCTCATGCATTCGGACTTGTTGTTGACGATGCTGATGGGTAAGATCTCGTCCGACGTGGTGTTGACGCAGCGGTAGTACTTCCCTGCAAACAGGTTGACACCCATGATGCTGAAGATGAGCCAGAAGATGAGGCAGACCAACAGCACGTTCATGATGGAGGGGATGGCCCCCAGCAGCGCGTTCACCACAACCTGGGGAGGTCGGAGCACACGGACAAACTCAGCACTCTCCTGTCGCTCACGCTGAGTTTGGATTTGTGGCCACTACAATCATCTAATCACTTAACTGGTCTTAAATAAAACATGTGGACACCTGATTTAAAAATTTACAGTGTTCCTACATTATTCAAAGCTGTATTTAAAATGTCATGCGTGCACACATAAAGCTCTTGCCACCATACATGTCTACAAAGAGAATTTAACAACGTGACAGTTGGAAAGAAGAAGGTGGACAGGTGAAAAAGTTAACATTTGATAGGTAAAAAAGCAAAACAGAAAAAAACCTTAGAGAGGCGGGATGAAGTCACAACATTTTGTTTGACTGTAAATGAAAAAAGACAAACAACAAAGAAAAAAATTACAGGTCAAAGGCACCACACAAGCAACGTCAGAAAACAATGCCTGAGAACGGCTGTATGCAGTAATTGACACAATGTGAAGAAAGTCATGCAGAGAGAAGAAGTACAGCGTTGAATTGCAAGGAAAAGATAACGTTACAGAAGTAGTAACAGATCCCCGAATGATCTAAAACCATCTGACATCACTTTTGTTTTCAAGCATGAACCCAGAACAATGTGACAGTCTAGAACCGGAAATATGAATTATACTGTGGAGTTTTCCAGAGGGCGAGCAGACACTGAGGACGAGTCTCTACAGGTTTAAGGACACAAGCAAAATAAAAGTAATGCGACTAGAAAAGCAAATTTTGTAAAAAAAATAAATAAGTAAATAAATAAATTAAAAAAAGAATGAGCTGGCTGAAAGCAGCTGGAAGAGCTCAAACACGCTCCAGCTTCACATGTAACATAAGAGTTTAAGAGTTTTATCAAAATTTTACAATTTAACTGAATATTTTCAACTTGAACCATTAAAAAAAGGAGTTAAAACTAATTTAATAAACTGCACGTGTAACTATGCTTTCAGGTTGCCCATGAACAGTAATCATTTACAAGTTGGCTTTCATGTCGCTGTTATTCCTCGTGTCCTTACCCTCATGCCCTCAAACCGAGACAGGGCCCTCAGGGGCCGCAGGGCTCGCAGCGTCCTCAGAGATTTGATAGCGCTAAGCTCGGAGTAGCCCAGAGCGTTGGCTACGAGGCTGACCAGGGACACCTGGGAGAAGATAATGTGAGAGACAAGCAGGGTGAAAGGTGAGCAATGAGCAAGTCTCCTCTGCAGAGGTGGCACAGGTGTTTCAAGTGTTTGAAGAGGACGGCTCATTTGTAATTAATGATCCGTCTGAACATAGTTCAAGAGATAATAAAGTATTAATGGTGATTAAAAATGAATCAAAGAAGATTCTCTGAAGACTGTGAATGTCAGTGATTCAACATTGACTTAAGTGGACTCAATGGTATAGCTAAAACTAATGCAGTCTAATGCAACAGTCCTGAGATAAGTCCTACCTTTATGAAAGCTCAAAACAACAACAGCATCACAAAGAAGGAGAATCTGAAGCAGATCCCTGTTGCATGAATACATTCAACTATATACATACGTCTACAATGAGGAAGTCGAGCCAGCACCAGGCGTTGGTGAAGTACTTGACGAAGCCGTACGCCACCCACTTCAATAGCATTTCCAGAATGAAGACGTAAGTGAAGACCTTGTCCGAGTACTCCAGCATTGTTTTGATGGTCCTCCGCTGCTCGATGTAAATGTCCTCGAACGCCTGCACACAGTGGAACAAACAATGAAGACAGCTGGTGGAAACAATGAGGTGTGAGTTACAGAATTCTGCAAAAAAGGGAAGATGTTAGAGGAGGTCAAGGGGAAAATAAGCATTAGGAATGTAAGTGCACATACATGCAAAAACATTCACTCACCAGAGCTCCACTGCTGAGCAGGATCATGAATATGATGAAGGATTCAAACCAGTTGTGCTCCACTATGATGAAGCAGGTCTTCCTGAGCGTCCACCAGCTCTTATAATTGCTGCCCTCCTCGTTGATCTGGCAGCACTGGAACCTGCGCACACAGCCTGCAGGCGTGGGGCAAATGTGGTGAGAAAGGGGGGGTGGGGGGTCGGGGGTCGGGGGTGAGAAACGGACCACAGGAGTATGAGGTGTATGGGCTGGTTCTCTGGTCGGGTGCCATTAAAGCATGTGCAGAAATGTAAAGAAGAGCACCAGTCACCTCCAACTTCCACCTTTCCATAAAAGGTGGTCAGCCACATTTACTCCTCGTCTAATCTGAGATCAATAGCTTGTAATTCAAAGAGATGTGAACAAAACAACTAAATAATACTGAAAGAGTATATTCTAAACGTAAGGTAAATGATCAACAAATCAACAAAATTACTTCCTCCTCCTTCCTGAGAGGTATTTTACAGATTCAGATTTGTGCTGGAGGTCTGTCAGATAAAATGTCAGGTTACATTACAAACCCAGAGAATCCCACAGACTACTTCTCTTTCTGTCCTGCTGAGCATTCGTATTCACTGTCATTCAGCCCAGAGTATGACACACCGGCGCCAAGCACAAGCAGTTAACGCGATTTTCTCCTCGTCTTGAAATGTGCTGTGGAAAGCATTTTCGTCTCCCACCTTTCTCGCTCTGACCCACTTTTCCCTCTACCCATCATCCTCCCTGCCTGTCACACCCTCACATCCCTCTCACCCTCGGTGAAGCAGGCCTCTGGGTCCAGTGACTCCTCCGGCTCGAGCTCCACTGAGTCAACCCCATCTCCTGGGGGGCGAATATCAACTGTGCTCCCCTCCGATGAGCTCAGAGGTTGGGGCTCTGCGTCGAGCTTCTGCATGGGCGAGGAAGGAGACGAGAGCACAAAGTTACACCGTGGTGCCTGCAACCACAGAGGTTCAGTGGTTTTAGGAGCCAACCTTCTGAGCTGGTTATTCTCCATTCACATGTACTCCAGTGCCACAACTGTACACCTCAGTGTGGAGACTAGGCACTGTAATAGCTCACAGAGTTGGGCTCTTTAAAGTCATCGTCATCGTATCATCAACATGCAGCATCGATCAAATGTACCTACAGGCTTTGATATTAATTTCATCTGATGGGGCTCGAATCAGATTATGTGGCAACACATGACACGGGGAGGTTGGCGTTGGCAGAAATGCACTGTGGGTACGTTTGATGTGACCTCAGTTCGAGGAAGAGTGCATGCAGTATTCCAGTGCATTATCAATCCAAGCCTGAAATAGTACCAAGCAGAACGTGTGCTTTAGTATTTTCATGTCCACTGAAAAAACACCCCAAATCAATTTCTTTTATAATTTAATCCCATTTCCAAAAAAATTTTCTTTCATGAATAAAAATCCCCCACCCTCGAACGTAGAATCCACCCAGGGAGCTATCGCTAAACGTTTTCCTCAGTGACATGAAAACACATCATTTCCATTCCTTGAAAGCGGTGTACAAGCTTCTTCTGTTTGTGTTGAAGTAGACGGATAACCACATTAGCTTACCAGCAAAAACCAGTACTGTGCACTGTTTATAAGACAGCATGTGGTCTGGCTTTTCTTTCTTTGAATTGAATTAGCACCCATGCATACCCAGAAAACATACAGGACTAAGTGTGGTACTCAATGACTTTCGTCCTTCTTCTCAGTGATTGCAAAACACATGTAAGGACAAGTGTTGCTGCTGTTGTTAAGTTCAGTTCACTCTGTCTTCCCTCTCTCTCTTCTCTGATAACACTCCTCTGAAACCCTACAACCATCTTTGTTTCTGCAGTAATGTACATTACAACATCATCTGCATAGAGTGAGACTTTTTTTTATTTTTGTGAGGCTTCCTGTCTGTTTTTCTTTGGGCAAACATGGTGTTGTGTAGCCTCGTGCCTGATCTGCCTAGCGTGTGAAGGAACATGTCATCCTAGACAGTGCAGCAGCCCTGATTGCCGTGGGACCCAGCTAATACGGCATGGGAATGATGGAAGCATGCTGCTCGCAAGTGCATCGTTTTCTGGAGGGGTGTTTCCCTCCCGCTCTTTCTCTCCTTCAGCAAGAGACCCATTTTACCTCTTCTGGACGTGGGTTATATGAGACTTTGACTCTTAACCTACCACGCTTTTATCTGTATAAGAAATGTCAGATTTTGATGGCAAGTTTCACTATAGTTGTAGTTGGGATGATAAGATAGTTGCAGTGAAACGAAAGTGGATAACACATGAAAGCACATAGAACAATCAACAATAACCCATTAAGACCGGATGAAATGTATTTCGTTTGTGTTTTCGGTATTTTAAGCTGCAAAAAAGTTTTTAAAGTCGCGGTTCAGACAATAGCTAATAAGCTGAGCCAGAGGAGCAATAGTGAAGCAGTTATGTGGATTAAAACAACAAAGACAACGATTTAGAAGATTCAGACACTGACTCCAATTGCTAAGACGCTAACCAGCTAGCCAAGGCTCAGGGTGACGCATGTAGAAGCAGGAGGGGGAGGAGCCAGTATCACCGCTAGCTAGAGGCATTAGTGAACGTTAAATTTTTCAGAAAACCCTGAGGTTTTAGGAGGTCGTTTTCAAAGAGAGCTGAGGATTTAGAACAGAAGGCACCTTCAGTCTTAATGGGATAATTGTGTGTATGTATCATATCTTTTAGAATTCATTTTAATTTAGAATTAATTTTGTTACTAATTCTATATTTGAGGAGAAAAGAAAATGATAAAATTACACTAATTTACCGCGTCATCATAAATAACGGATTGATTCTGTATAAACTGCCATGTGTTATCTGTTTTGCCACTCTGCAAAAATCAGTATTGATCGATTATCTCCTTGGAAAGAGTTCTGTAAAGAATCTTTCATCATTCCACTATTATTTGAGTATCATAGGAAACAAGTATGTACAAGTATTTCATGTGCGTATGCATGGGCTATGAACCAGACAAATGAATTTTGTCAAACTACAGCAAAATTCATTCCTCCACTCCATCAGTTTTATTTTTATTTTATTTTTTTATCTCATTCTCCTCCATCTCCTCTCTTCCTTCATTCTCAAGCTCGGAGTGTTGGATGCCAATCAAGTCCCAAAACCAAGTCAAAAACCAAGCAATGAAATCAAAAGCAAAGATCATGTTAGATGAGTTTATATATCAATGGAAACAAAGGTGGTGTTGCTCATTCCTAATGGTTGGTAACTGCAATACAGCCTGATGCTTGGAGATCAATTATGAAAGGGAATAGGGGGAAGGGAAGGATGAAGGGGGGGAGGAGAGAGAAGGGGCTAAGGAAAACTCACAGCATTGAAAGTGTGCTGTTTGGAGAAGGGAGGGAGGCGACGTGGGATATACAGGAGAAGGTAAGGGGGGGTGAGTACAATAAATAAAGCAAAGAGGGTGGGGGTCGGGGAGGGGTGGGGGACGGAGGGCAGACCAGGCAAAGAACGAAAATGGGCAATCCATTGAAGGTATGAGAAAAAATATGTTGTTTGTCTGTAAATGGCATAGGCAGTCCTCATGGTTAGTGCTATGGTACAATAAAGTGGTCTTACAATTCTCCTCTCACTGAAAACCTTGAGAGCGTCTGTGACACAGCTGCAATAACAAACGGGGGGGTTAAACAAAGTAAGTCAGACACACCAAAAGCCAGCATACAACCTCAAGTCTGCTTTCACTGGTCAGCCACAAGGCTCAGTGGGGGAACGAGTTAGCCGCAGACAACAAACAATTCAGATTCCCCTGAAAGCATTTTCCTCCACAGATGCAGTACAAAAGATGTGGGTTGCTCATTTTATTTTTTACTGGCAATGACACGTGACGTCTCACACAACAGGCACACCAAATGCATGCATGAATTACTCACTATCTGTAACTTAACTTGTGCTTAATTCACCAGCTCCCAGCTACAGGGTGTGGTGAGAGAGTCGATATATGGAGCATGTGGTGCCGTGGCTAGAAATAGTCCCCCCCCCCGCCCCCAAGTTGTTTTGAATCACAGTGGATTGGCACCACACCCACAGTGGCAGGTTGACATCACCAGGGAGCAGAGTCCCACCGCTCTGTCAGCCTGGCAACACTTAACAACCATACCTGGCATTTGCTCTGTTAGAATCTGTAATAAGACTTTCAGGCAAATTGCCATTTTAAAGTGTTAATCCTATTTTCAAATCCATTTTAAACTAGTTTTAACTTAAACTTTTAGTGTAGTTTTTATTGCTTTTTACATGTGGGATAAAGTATTGAAAACTATTCATTTAAATAAATATAATTATTTGCGATTGATACCATTCTCATATGTGTAGGCTAAATATGTATCTAGAGCCAGGAGACGTTTAGCTTAGCTTTTTACCAGCTTTAGCTGTTTCCCCCTGCTTCCGTGCTTTATGCTAAGCTAAGCTAACTCACCTCCTAGCTTTTGCTAAATATTTCATGGAGAGATATACAAATGTGGCATCAAACGTCTCGTCTAACTGTCGGCAAAAAGCACATTTCGAGACTTTCGTGCAAATTGTGCATCAAAAGGGGAAGTATTTGATTTCATTCAAATGTTATAATATTTGATAAAGTTTCTGACGTGTACTGATAATCAGTTTTGGTACACTATTACTCAGAAAGAGCTTAGATCACCTCGATAAATTCTAAATTAACAGTTTGCTGCTTCATCTTTAACACATGCACACATATGCACAATAAATTATGCAGTCTCTTTTGCAGGTGTGCCTGATAGTGAGTCAAACACGTAACACCGCACACAAACACACTGACACACTGACACATACACTCTGTTATAATTGTTATTTTTCATTGCTGTTTCTTGTTGTCCTGCTTCTCCAGAAGATTCCCTCAGTAGCACAGCATGATGCATGCACAAGTGAGTCAGCAGGTTATTTTCAAACTTATCCATTTCAAGTCAACTGACTTGAGTTAAATTATAAAGGAGCTAATCAAATACAAAATCTGTGCGACTCAAGAGGTTTCCTACAAGCTGACAGACACATCGGTCGTCCAATCAAAGTCATTCGTCTTACCTCTTTGCTGCCCTCTACGTCCGACGAGTCGCTGCTGAAATCTTCTGTGTTCAGGTTCTCAAAGTCTGACTCGCCCACAGCGATGGGCACCGTCACTGTGAGGCTGGGGTTATGAATAAATGACATGTAGTCGCTTTCCTCTATGGGGTACTTCACCGTAGTGTCCCCACCAGCCCTGACCCCTACCACCAGCCCTCCTCCAGGCCGTCCATTGCCCTCCGTCATGTACACCCCACCGGGGTCTTTGGTGATCTCCACTGAAGTGTGATTGGAGATGCAGTTGCCCTTGCCGTTGCTGTGCAGTTCGTCTAAGGGTTTGCTCTCCTCGGCCAGACCGGATCCCTTACCGGCTCCTCCAAAGCAGAGGCTCTGGAGGAACTGCCGCACCGTGGCTTTGACGAATGCGATGCCACGCTGGATGCGGCCCACGGCGATCTGCAGGTTGTTCATCTCGCTGTCGTCGTCGGTTGCCGCCAGGTTGTCGGCGCTGAAGGAGCTCAGGAGGAGAGCGAGGAACAGGTTTAAAACCTGGAAAGAAATGGACATCAGGCAGGGAAAATCAATTCAGCCAATAAATACATGATTAATACCACAACATATTGAATATATGTAATTTTCTTCTCATTATTATGGAAAGGAAACAAAGACCATACCACCAGGTTTCCAATGACCATGACCATCATGAAGACGATCAGGCACATCGACTGTCCCGCCACCTCCATGCAGTCCCACATGGTCTCGATCCACTCTCCGCACAGCACCCGGAACACAATGAGGAAGGAGTGGAAGAAATCGTGCATGTGCCAGCGAGGCAGCTCACACTCGTCGGAGATCTTACACACACACTCCTTGTAGCTCTTGCCGAACAGCTGCATGCCGACCACGGCGAAGATAAAGACGATGATGGCCAGCACCAGAGTCAGGTTCCCCAGAGCGCCCACCGAGTTGCCGATGATCTTGATCAGCATGTTCAAAGTGGGCCATGACTTGGCCAGTTTGAAAACCCTCAGCTGTTGTAAAAAGGAAATTAAAAGGATGTTTTCCTCGTAAGTTAACTTGTGGCTTAGACTTTGAGTGCTTTTTAAATATGGGATAGTGTTGAAAACTATTCGTTTAAAGTTGCCACAGCACATTTTATTTGTTAAAAGGAATGGTTTCACATTTTGGGAAACATAATTAAACATGTAGCTAGAGCCAGGAGACGTTTAGCTTAGCTTAGCTTAGCATAAAGACAGCTAGCCCCGCTCTGTCCAAACGTTAAAAATCTACCTACCAACCCAAGTAACAAGAGGCAAGGAAGTCACTCAGAGAGAACCCCAACTTGTTGTTTTTATGCTCTTGTTTCCCCCTGCTTCCATGCTTTATGCTAAGCTATGCTTACTCACCTGCTAGCTTTTGCTACCTATTTAATGAACAGATATGCAAGTGAACTATCAAACTTCTCATCTAACTGTAAGAAAAAATAAGGCAGCAAGCACATTTGCAGAAATCTCAGACTCGCTGCGTTAAAAGCAAAACTAAATTCTTTGTGCGGTTGTTTTTGCTTTTAGACTTTTAGAGACGAGGTGAATATACTTTCAGTCTCAGTTGATAAAAGCACTAATTGTGTAGCAGCTCTGATAGAAAGCTAATCAGGTGAACAGAAGAAAACACATTGTGCCCCAAAGGCCAAAACAACTCTCAGTGGGCTTTTTATGTACTGCACAAAAGCTCTCATTACATCATTACCTCATTAATAACATGAGTGTTGTTGAGAGAGTCTTTGTGTTGCCTAAAAGTACAGGTTCATCTTAACTTAGATACACAGATAAATGATGTAATGTAGCTTCTCTAAAAACCAGCCAACCATGACCCCCAGCGCTCTTACCAGTCTGAAGGACCTGAGCACAGACAGGCCTTCTACGTTGGCCAGGCCGAGCTCCATCAAACTGAGACTAACAATGATGCCGTCAAAGATGTTCCAGCCCTCCTGGAAGTAGTAGTAGGGATCCAGGGCGATGATCTTGAAGCACATCTCTGCTGTGAAGATGCCCGTGAACACCTGACGACAAAGGAGGGGAAACCCATGAGAGATATTTCACAGTTACTGTATATTGTCTCCGGTTTCATCCACTCGGACTTGGTGAGCATTTCACAAAATACTTGCCAGGTTTCCGACTGAGAGGACAGTGTCGAATTCTTTCGTCATGGGGTAATGCTCCATGGCCATGAAAAGGGTGTTGAGGACGATGCAGATTGTGATGGCCAGATCCACAAATGGGTCCATGACCACCATGTTCACCACCTCCTTGATTTTCAGCCATGCTGGACAACAATCCCAGATCAGACAGGTGTTGGCAAATCTGTACCAGCAGGGGGGGCACTTCTGTCTCGACTCCTCAAGCTCTGGAAAAAGGAGAGATAACCACATTTCGTTATAATGCTCTTGCGATGCTCTTGGAATACAGTTGAATTTATCTCTGTGGTGACCTCCTGACCTTCCATGGTGTTGGTGAGGATACTGGCCACACTCATGGCTCTCTGCCGGCCCCCTGGTTCATCCAGATAATCCATGGACGGCTGGTGAAAACCTGACCGACGTTTCTTCAGCTCAGTATCTGTCGTTGTTCCCTGGAAATATGTGAAGGACGAGAAGATTATCAGTGTTGGGCTCATGTGAATGACTTGACACACCTGCACAGGGGTTTTCACTTATTTCCCTGATTAGTCCAGGCTCCACCTCTAAAACCCTAAAGCAGTATGGCTAATGAATTAATTATTGTGTATGTCTTTCTCTTCTGTTCAGCACGAGTCAAGAGTCTCAACCTCAGCTGATGAAAATGTAATTATCACTGTCGGTATTTGCTCCATCGGCCAAATTAAAGTTTTGACCTGAAAAATTAAGGGACTGCCAAATATATTAGCATTCGTGCTGAGAAGAAGATGAATGTCTTTATCCAACAGTTCATGATCAACAAAGTCAGTAGGGGGCCAACAGGAACCAATGGGCTTGGAGCTGAGAACCACAGATGGGGTTGAGAGGTGGGAAAGCTTTTGCTGACAATAACAAACAACATTAAGAACTTGACTTAACAAAAACCCATATAACTAATTTATTAATTACTTATCAATAAGATCAGAACAAAGGGATGTGAATTATATACAGTGAACTGGAGGGAGGTCAATGGGAAAATAAAGCATGAAACAATGAAGTCACCTCAGGCAGCAGGAGACCTACAGGGGAGGTTGTTACGGACGTTCCACCGACTAGAGAAACCACACCATTGCAGTCTACAGTGCAGTGCATCTTGCCGTTGGCAGGCAGTATGATCCGCGGCGCCCCGAGGCTCGTCTGGCTGACGGCGCTGGAGCGGCGCTCGAGGCGGCGCGGCAGGAACAGGGAACCCCGCCGGCTGTCGCTCTCCTCGAAGGTGCTGTGCTCGTCGTCGGCGAAGTCGTTCTCGGAGCCCATGTCGCGCGCCCGGCCGCGGAAGCTGAACAAGCTGGCACGGCTGTTCCTCCGAGGAGAGAGGAGGGATCCGCGGATACTGAGCAGAGACTGAGAGAGAGAAAAAGAGAGGGAAATTCAAATTAGAGGGAGGAAGGACAGACACCAAATGACCATATTTGGTGTTGGGTGGTCCTGAGAAAACAGGGAGGAGCTAGACAGAGCTTAGCTTAGCATAAAAAGTGAGCACAAGGGGAAAAAAACTCACCTAGTTCTGCCCAAAGTCAATAAATGATTGTTTTTTATTGGCAAACAACAAAATTACAAATATATTAAAGATGACGTAGTAGACTGGTGCTAACAGAAAATATCAATAATGGGCAAATGTACAGACAATACTATGAAACTGTTACACCGATGTACGAGAAGAGCCAGGGGAGTGGAGATGATTTGTATGTACTATCTTTATAATAATAATTTCTAAGTAGTATGATAATGTAATCATCATAATATGATAATATGATAATGTAGCTATAATAATAAATCATTCAATATGCGATAATATATTAGTGACTACTCAACGCTAAGTGAGGAGCGAGGGCAGACCAGGACATCAACGAGGCAGGCGACCTTCTTTCTCATAATTATCTAATTATCATTATTATCATTATTATTATTATTATTATTATCATTGATGGATTACATCGTTTGTTTAATCTGTACAAAAACAAAGAGTAAAATGGAGAATCTGAGTTAAAATAGCTAATCTCACCTCTGTGATGAAGCGTATTTCTTAAATCCTTTAATTTACACACACTTATACACTGTAATGAGTGCAATGAGTTCATGTTTGTTTTGTGTATTTGAAGTTATTTTTTGCCTTTATTCTGCCTTTATTAGTCACAGTGAGAGAGAGAGAGAGAGACAAGTCATCTGCTCCGTTGGGGAAGTATTTACCTGGTTGGGCGAGGAGCATCTCTTCTCATAAGAAAGCCGGTTGGCATCGATTGAGAAGCGGAAGCTCGACCTCTTGATGCTGTCCTCAGACTCAGACTTGTGGAACTTAAGTGCCCCCCTCTCCTCCTCCTCCTCCCTCTGCTTCCTCTTCTTCCGCCTGTTGCGTCGCTCCTTGGCGCTCTTGGAGCTGAGCTTAGACGTCCCCGAGGAGGACTCGGAGGTGGGGCCCCCTCGCCCGCTGTACTCTCCGCTCTCCGTGGCTGCTGCTGCGGCAACCTGCCAGCCAATCGGAGCACAAACACAGTTGTCATGGCGACCCAGCGCCTGTCTCAAAGGCTCTTTGCGGAATGGAGCGGAGGAGAGAGAGAGAGAGAGCGGCGGCGGCAGCAGCAGCATGAAGAGACAAATCAGCCTCAGACACCTTCTAAAAATGGACGCCTGATTGTTTTCATGCAAACCAAAACATTTCTAAATCTTTGCATTTGCAAGACTCATTAAGTTAGAGAAAAACTGCATTTCTACGAGTCAACAGAACTGCACAAAAAAAATGCATGAACTTCTGTTTTCCACAGAGATGTGTTCTCCTAATGAAATGCTTTCAGGTTGGGGATGTGAATAAGTACAAACGCTTTTTATTTCCTCTTTTTCCATCTTCTATCTTCGCTCCAGAATGTGCACAAGCCTGACAAAACAGTGTTAAGCCTGAAAGAACAGCCGGAGAGAGCAGAGGTGGGAGGAAGGTCTTACAGGAAACACAATAAAGCAATAGAAGACGGAAGTATCTGATCTTCCACTAATCAGATCGAGATAATGTGGTATTGTATATTAAATAATGCAGAATATAAAGGGGAACTATGGCCTATTAATCCTCTTACACTATTAATCTGTATATAAATCAGTTGCTAACTTTTTGTGTCATGTAACCCGTCGTCCCTCTCTGATGAGCTCAAGTACCCCTTCACCCACCATCACCCGTTCTGATTCAATTGACTTTAAAGTGGATGTTTAATAACACTAAATAAAAGTGGATATTGTTAATAATAATACATACAATTCATATTACAACCACTTGGAGTGGCAGAAGGTGAACATGTCAACCAATTATCTGCTACTTTTAACCGACTATTGTGTTCATCCATCACTTTTTAGCTCATTATTTCATCTGTTTATCCGTCCTTTTTTAGCTAACTACTGTATTTTCACCATTTCTCATTAATTTTTATCTCATGCACATATATAGATGCACTTTATATTTTTTAACCAGAACATAATTTCTCTTTCATCTCATTAGCTACTCCACCATAACCTCCTGGCAACTGCAGATCCGCTCCCTGGGGGACGAGTACATCTCTGCTGTGTATCATCTGAGGCCTCTACACTTAGTTTTATCAGATTCAGCCTCCGACCGTGCACATGCACTTGTTACATGTGTAGTGGGACAGAAATAGACTCTCTGGCTCTGTCGTCATAAGTTTCAAAGTGACGCCGGGAACACACTGCCTGCGTTGCTGCAGCTCTATCTCACTACATAGAGCTTGCAGGTCACTTGAACGTTGGATTTCTCTTCATTATAAATTAATTTCTGATTTATACTTTGACAGAAAACATCAGTAAATTGTCACTGTCTCCATATGTAGCTGCTAAAATGGTTATAATATACTGTATATTTATATTTTTTCATGTCTGTGACATATTCAGATTCAGAAGATGTCAGTTTTATGTTGGTATGACGTCAAAATGACATCAACCGGTCTTTTTTTGCCGGGAGACGTGCGTCAAGTGTGAAAAACAGGCGAAACACCGACTCTGTAGATCACACGCGACACACGGGTGAGATGCTCAAACCCGTTAAGATGAAAACCAAGACGTTCAGCAGCCGCGACGCATCCAGTGTGTTCCTGTCCTAACTGCTCGGCTGCTCAGTGACATCAGGACGGGTTCTCCCTTGGTAACCAGCGTCTCGTACGGACGACAGGCAGATTATTAAACTCAGCAGTCAGAGCCACAGTGGGTAAATTTCCATTATCCAGTATTTCCACTTGCACACGGTGTCCAACTGATCATTTCCACCTCATTTCTGCAGGTCAACCTCCTGACACCACGGCTGCAGCAGGGGGGTGTCAGTCATCCAGGACAGCGGTTGCTAGGGGCAACGCTGCTTATGGCAGCTGGCTCAAGACTCTAAGCTGAAAAATCAACAGAGCCCCCCTCCCCACATACGTGCAAAGAGACCGTCTATGTTAAACGCTGCGCAGTTAAAAACATCACTTTCTTAATGTACTTGTGAATGGATCCTCTCTCAATGAGATCACTCTCAAACGAAATGAGATGAAATGGAAACACTGATCAGCTGGGGGCCTGTAATCGAATCATGACTTGTTTTTGAAAAGACAAAGATGAATGTTCCTGCCTGTGCCTCCTCCTGCTGTCTCTTCAGCTGCTCCAGCATGGCCTGGAACTCCTCCTCCTTCTGCTGGGCCTCCTCGATGGTCGCCTGGTTCTGCTCGTCGTACGCCATGGCCACCACGGCCAGGATCAGGTTGACCAGGTAGAAGGAGCCCAGAAAGATCACCAGCACAAAGAAGATCATGTAGGGTTTCCCCGCCACGCGCAAAGTCTGACGGATCCGAGACAGTCGGGAGAGAGGAAAGGAGAGAGAGGGTTGTTGTTATGAATTCATCTTATTGAACTGACTGGATATGTCTGCTGACTGAAGGTTCTGCCAACCTGCTGGTAGAGGTTTTCCCAGAAGTCCTGGGTCATGAGTCGGAACAGAGAGAGGAAGGCCCAGCTGAAGGTGTCGAAGCTGGTGTAGCCGTAATCTGGATTACGACCTGCTTTCAAACACAGGAAGCCCTCTGGACAGAGCCTGTCAGGACACACAGGTGTTATGCTAATATTTAGCATTAAAGGTGCCACATGTACTTCTTTTTAACATTAAACAGTTACAGTGTGTTCACATTGTGTAGCTGCCATTTGTGTATTAAAGGTACAGTCTAAAGGTCTGTGTCCATGTGTAGTGTGATTATAGATCAGGTCTAGCTTCTATATTAATACTGTGAAAGTATCAAAGCCTCAGTCCACAGAGAAATGCACACAGCCTGTATTCAGAAACTGAGCCTTAAAACCAGCCGTCAGGACTTCTGGAACTTTGTGATGTCACAACAAAGCAGCCACCAAGCCCCAACCACCTGGACCCACCATCCAAACCTTTACAGGATTTGGTTTCTCTGAGTGTTTTTACCTGAAATCTGCTGTATTTTTATTGTTTTACTCAAAAAACAGTCAGCCAATCAGAAGAGAGGCTCAGAGCCTCCTCTCTTCTGATTGGCTCACCGACCTGTTGTTACTAGAGCTCCAGAGAGAAGCCTGAGAGAGGAGATGTAAAACTACACTGAGATGGTTTTTGGTTCTTTAAACCACAAATATATCTTCTCATGGATCAACACTTCAAAATAAAACAGGAAGAGTGTGAAATAAGGAGCTTCTTAAGCATCTTAAACTTTCCATGGAGGAAGAACTTTCTCCACATTTGCTAAAACACATTTAAATGAAAAGCAGCCGTAGTTAACCAGTTCAGACTCCTGCGACGCCTCAGCGTGGTGGTGAGTGTCGACACTAATTGTGTATGCTCAGCTTTGTGGTGCATCTAATTGGCCATATAAATAAAACATGTCAAGTCTTACCCAGCGCCACTGGCATTCCCGCAGAGCAGAGCGTCCCTACGGCCAGGGAGGTAATAATAATTATCTGGAGAGGAGAAGAGACAGAGCGACGGTAAGTCAGAGACACATCACAGGATTTGGTTGTTTTGTTTGTTTTAACACCCAACCACATGAGTCACCCTTAGTCACCCTGACTTTCAAAGCAGTCTTCCACTTTCACAATCACATCAGATTCTCTATATCCATTGAAACTATAACGATGCCAGGCTTTAACCGGCTGTCTCTCTCTCCTCTTTCCCTCTCGCTCTGGCAGCAGCTTGTCATGTAGCCGGTGCCCGTCTCCTCTCTATCCCGCTGGCGGTCAGTGACTCACCCTCCTCTAGCACTTTAGGCTGCTCATGCCACACAGATGGGCCACGGGAGAATGATGAAGGAAGTCGAGGGGGGTGAAAGAAGAGGGTTTTATTGCTGCGGCGATTATCCGCCACATTTGCTGCGTTCTCCCACCAGCCCTTGTTAGAGAGCACAGCCTCTGCTCCCAGCCATTGCTGTCACTCCCTATCATGGCAGCAGGCCTGACCTCCCCCTACACTACCACCGCCGCCACTCTGACCCGTCTCTGCATGTGCAGTAGCCAGTATCTGACTCAGGCTGTCTGGGGCGGATGCTAACTTGACCCTGGTTAACCCCCTTGTGCTCCTGGCAGACATGTAACGCCACGTTCACGCCGTGTCACTCGGCTTACTCTCGTCGCTGATGTACTCTGTCCAGTTGAAGGCGTTCTCTGTGCCGTTCTGCTCAAACGTGCTGTTGCTTTCCATCAGGGTGCCGTTGAAAAACATCATATCGTCGGCGGTGATATTGCTGCTGTTGGTGAAGAGCGGTTTACGCACGCACTTCTGCCTCAGGTTGCCCATGAAGAGCTGCAGGCCGATGAGGGCGAAGACGCTGAGGCAGAACACGGTGAGGATCATCACGTCCGACAGCTTTTTCACCGACTGGATCAGGGCGCCGACGATGGTCTTCAAGCCTGAACGTGAGAGAGGGCGAGGGGGCGGGAAGGGGACATCGCAGAGTGATTACTGCCCGCTAATTACAGCCACAAGCTTGTATAGAGAAGACGCTACTAATAAGAGCTTACAGGAGCAAGCAGCCAGGGGGATCTGCAGTGGAGGTTCCTGTATGAACTGCTTGCTGTCATACAGGAACCACGCTCACACAGATCACTGCTAATCATGGATAAACCACTGGAGAAACATGTGTTGTTGTGTTTTTGTATCTATTTACCAGGAAGAACGAGCAGCATACTCTATAAATCTGTGCTGTTGTTTTCTGGTTGTAAAGCCACTGAGCTCTTGTTTTAGTGCAGTTGCAAAGACCAGGCGCACAGCAGCAGGTCAATGGGGACCTATCCAAGTGCACAGGCTGTTTATATCCATATAGGCACAGCATGATGAACAAGATCATTAAGTGAAGTGGAATTAAAACTGGAGGGTGATTTTGCTGAGTAATTGTTATTCTCTCAGCCAGTTACATCGCTGGTTTCATACCGCTCTCATGCAGCTGTAGTGGAGCATGAGGTAAGTAGAAAATAATATTGTGGCGTGGAGGGCGAGTCCGATGTGTTGCACTGTGAATCAAGTATTTAGTTTGTGCTTGTTGATGGAAGCAACAATTTATTCAAGGAATAGTTTAACATTTTGGGAAATACACATAGTTAAATGAGGAGATTGATACCACTTTTAGCTGATTATTTTAGCATTAGCTTAGCATTAAAACTGGCAGGAAGGGGAAACAGCTAGCCTAGCTATGTCCAAGGCTAAAAAAAAGCACCTTTAAAGTTCACTAATGATGTCATTGTGTTGTGTTTTAGTTTAAATATAATAACCACAAGTTGCACGCACAACTTGTTTTTACATTTAGGCTTTTGGTTCAAACAGGATGTTAGCTTAGCATTAAAACTGGCAGGAGGGGGAAACAGCTAGCCTAGCCTACCTTGTCTGAGGCTAAAACAAATCTGCACATTAGCACCTTTAAAGTTAACTAATGATCTCATTGTGTTTTAGTTTAGTTTAAATGTAAAAACAGCAAGTTGCACACAACAGCCACACAACCACAATTTATTGTTTTTACATTTTGGCTTTTGGTTCAGACAAACAAGATACAATGGGTTAATTAGTGCTTTAGAGGTGTTGGCAGGTTTATTTTTGAACTTTAGCCCTGCTAGCTACTTTTCCCTTCTTTCCTACTTCTCATTCCCCAGGTTATGCTAAGCTAAGCTAATTGCCTGCTAGCTCCAGCTTCATATTTACTGTAAAGACAAGAGAGTGGTGTCATTTCACATTTCCCAAAACGTCAAACTATCACTTTAACAAAATGACATGGTGTTCGTCTATTTTCAACATCAACCACTCGATATTCACCAAAACACCATGTTCAATTTTGTTGCAGCTTCTCCCACCACTGAGCCATGAGCTAATAAATACCAAAGACACAGGCAAAATGCTTTTAAAGGTCAGAAAAATACCAGCATATGTTTGTGCTGCTTGTACTAGGCTTTGCACTGCCACAAAAACAGAGCCCAACATGTTTAAACTAGGTCTAAATGTAGTAAATAATACGTGTTGTGGAATTGGATGATTCTCTTAATACAAACAGCCAATGACAGTTTTCCTGGATGGTTTACATGTGACCTTTTGGTTAGTTTGTGATGTGAATAGTGTTAGTGCCATAACCCAACCACCACTCACCATATCACAATATCTCCAAAGAAACACACAACATTGAACAAGACATGCACAGGAAAAACAAGGTGAGGAGGAACCCTACACACACAAGTGCTTGCCACCAGAAAATCGGCTTTTGCAATGTCTCATGCAAAAAAGGAAAAAAGAAATAGTGCACAAAATCTACTTGTAAGGCTCCCAAGGCAAGAATAGATTTCAACCAAAAAGAATTCTGCCTTAAAGGATGTTTCTAAAAGCTAAGAATCCTGTCAATCTGTGCAGATTGGAGCCAGATTCCAGCTTTTACTGGCCTTGGGACGAAGGCAGCATGAGGGACGGCGACGGGCGTCATCAGGCTTAGCTACAGTGAGATGAGCTGAGAGGGGGGCGGGGTGCTTGGATGTTAGCGAAACGCCAGTTAGCCATTAGCATTTCATCAACCCTACGGGCCTTGATGGCTCTCTCACCTGGGATGACTGATATAGTTTTCAGGGCTCGCAGAACCCTGAAGGTTCGCAGTGCTGAGACATTGCCCAGGTCCACAAACTCTGTGACATATCTGTAAGGGAAGGGAGGGGGGAGGAAGGAGAGGGAGGAGGAGGAGGAGGAAAGCGGTGGGGAAGCGGGAGGAGGTGGGTGGGGGTTTGTAGCTATAGGGGCATTTCGGGGAAAAAAAAGGAGTGGGACACACGCACACATACGCACACGCACACAAATCAGGCACCCGCACACATGGCATGACGAGACAAGAGGAGGGTCACGGGAAGGGGGGAGGAGGAAGGGGTGAGGGGGTGGGGGGGAGAGGAGGGAACGGCAAACGGTCACACACAGAGGACAAATGGCAGGAGTGCTGGCAGCAGGCCCGGGCAGCCTTACCTGGTATTACTGAGATAGTTTTCAAAGCTCGCAAAACTCTGAATGTGCGCAGAGCTGAAACATTGCCTAGGTTTACAAACTCTGTTATATACCTGCAGGATCAAATGCACAGTTACTACACAGCATCACACAAACACAGACACACACCTCTGTTAAAAGCATCGTCAATGACATAATTAAAAGTGAGTAATCCTCCATAGAAACAGATACTACGATCGCTAAAATCACTGCATGACCTAATGCTGAAGGCTTTATTCTGTGGTGTCAAGACAAGTAGCTGAAGTCACTGAAGCATGGGACAAATCTAAGCCAGGATACTGCAGGTTTTCTTGGGGTTAACATCCATTATTACGGCAGAGCTGAGATTTCTGGCCATGCTATCAAAACATACAGCAGTAAGCTCCAGATTATCACGCCCCTCTTCATTTCTCTGCTCTTCTTCTCCAATTCAGTGGGACTTAACAGGCTGCTGGGCTGATTAGCATTAACAGCATTTGGCCTCTTAATCTACGCCAGATCATGTTAAGCTGATCCTAACCGTGCTTGTCATAATACTTACGCCATGAGGATAACACTGAAATCCAGCCAGTTCCATGGGTCCCGGAGGAAAGTGAACTTCCCCACGCAGAAGCCCCTGGCCAGGATTTTTATAAGGGACTCGAAGGTGTAAATCCCTGTGAATGTGTACCTGAGAGAGGAAATGAAAACACACGCTGAGGGAAATAACGATGTCGGTTAACGACTCTGTTGCTCAGAGGCGAGGTGACAGACTCGCTGTGTGCAGTGCAGCACTGGCTTCTTAAACTACCTGTATCACTGCCTCTTCAAATCTTATTAGTCAACCATCTTCTTCATGAGCTTTCTGGTTATTACATCATGTCCTGAAAACGCTGCAGTGTACATTACTGAGATCAATTACTGTTTGATGACTGCACCTATATCTAATGGAGGCAAATACGTATGTGAAGCTAACATCAAACAGTTGACCATAGTAGTATTACGAACCAAAGTTATATACATGTACATTTTTCAGCACACAATTTGTAAAGGACTTTTCTTAGAAACAATGTAGTGCAAAGTGTTTTGCAGAGTAAAAGCAATAAAAAAATCCTCCCTTTGGAAAGCAAAGATACAGATAGAGAAAAAATAATAAAAAACTAAACAGAGGAGATGTTTGGAAGTGAGTAAAACCAGAAATAAAGGTAGGGTATTAGAAGGAAAACAACCTAGAAAATAAAAAGGACATATCATTAAAACAGTCTAACATATATAAATAAATAGACAGAAAAGTTTTATAAAGCTGCTGTTTTATTAAAATGTTGTAGCCTCATACCCACAGTCCATGTGATGTGCATACAACTACACTCCTTCTAAAATAGGTTTTATGAATTATGGAACTACAGTTTCCAGTATGCTTTGAGGGATACGGGCAGTATGTATGGTCATATGTTGTCAATGGACAGTATTTTAATACTTATGCAACCAACTCTGTAGTTATACAACTGTCTTGATGACCTGAACACTCTCAGATCATTAACATCTTTACCATGCGGCCCACATGACATGAACGCAGCATACGTCTGACTCACCCCCGACTCATTATACAGGGGACTAGATGTACCCTTCACCAGTCTATCTGAGTGTGAACTTTATCAATATGCTCTATATAGTGACGTCAGAAATTCTACAAAGGAATGAAAAAAGTAGCATTCATGGTATGGCTAACAATCCCATGATGCAATGCGATATATTTTACACATTAATTCCTGTTTGCACAGTAACCAATCAATAATTTTTCCCATCAAATATACTGACACCCCCTGCATGTGCAGGTTGTGCTGCTTTCAGGAATTTGTGTCTCAGAGGATTCATCAAAATGTACGTCAATGTAAAATCAGAAAAAGTCACACGGGAGGAGGAAATGAACAGCTGAGGACTTACTCTACATTCTTGGCCCATTCCGGGGGGTTACTGAGGGTCATGAAAGCACAGTTGGTCAGGATGGTGAACATGATCAACATGCTGAACAACGTAAAAAAACCAAGTTAAGGAACACAATAGAACATTTTTGTTGAGCATAAATCCCTGTACGCTAACATTCCCCGTCCATTACTGTTACAAGAAATATAAAGGAAATCCTGTATGTTTCTCATTTTTAATCTTAAGTGTCTTCAACTGCTCAGCTGCTGTAAAACCAGATGTATGTCTATGTGCAAAGTCTAAACCAATCATGACATTTAGTCTTCAACATCAGCTCGTTTAAATCCGTCTTTTGTCTGATAAACCCTTTTAATCCAAATCAAGCTGTGACCGTAGCAAACTCTGAAAGGATATGAGTGTACTAAAACTCTAATAGCTATCCTCCTTAGAGGGTTGAAGGGGCTTAAGATGTACAAGGCAGGAGTGGCGTTGAAACGGAAGATTGCCTTCCCGCGATTCAATACTATGAAGGTCTGAAAGAGAGAAAAAACAAAGATGAATTAAAATATGTATCATGCATGCGAGAGATGCAGCACCCGGAGGCTTTGATAAGTCAAAACAGCAGAGAAGCTGCATCTGTGTGCAGCCACTGTGGTTGTTATTGTAATGAAGCTGGATGAGTCCACCTCAGGCAGCACACGTTTGGCACTGGAGTTCAACTGGCACAGCAGCTCGGATTAGCATTTAGCACCTCTGTTGGCCCACGCTTTCAAGCCTCCGACTTGGCTGAGCACGTTCATGTTAATGTGGGTTTTACATCTCGCCTGTTGACAAACTAAATGTTGACTTTTGCAGATTTAAATGTTGTGAAGAATTAACCAGTTGTTATACTTATCGTGCTACGTCTTAGTGCTGCAGTTGACACCATCGATCGGTGGATTTTAGCTAGTTAGATAGGGAAATTAAAATTGTCCAGCAGTTGGCAAGGCTGATTTACGTCATATCTATCTGATAGATTACAGTTTGTTCATGTTAACAATGATGCATACAAAAGTTAGTCATGGAATTGCACAGGGCTCTGTGCTAATGCCGATACTTTTCACCCTATTATATGCACCGTTTAGGCAATAATATCAGGAAGTACTGGATAAATTTCCGATGTTACGCAGACGACACATCGCTGTATTTATCTATGAAGCCGGATGAGACTTATAACTGGATGACCGGCAGACAAAACTGAAGTTATTCTAATTGACTCGCCTGCTCAGAGCATTTGTGCCCACATGGTATGCACCCTAACCTAAGCACCCCCTTTGATTTAAATGTAAGTGTTTTTTATTTAGATTTTACTTTTTCTGATCCCTGGATCTCTGGAGGAAATTGCTGCAGTGCTTCCTTAAAATAGTTTATATTGAGCACATTGGTCAATTTACTTCAAGCTTAAAAAGTGCAGATGTGTAATGTATGAAAATTCAGTGCCTGAGTTACTCATCATTTCAATCTAAATACAGAACGATGCTTTAAAGCCAGCGCAGAGAGAACATGACTTAAAGGTATTCATCCATTATTTTACCTTTATAAGATGGACTCTTTGAAACTGACCTTCTGATTGCTGTAGAAGGGGTCCAAGTCCTCCAGAGGGGTGGACACCAGTTGGGATGGGGTGTCCCCATAGATGAAGGGGAGAGATTTCCCTGCCTCCAGGTCACTGTTGGGCTTTGGACCGTTTTCATCATCACTGTCACTGCGGCGATCCGCCCGTGGTCTCCGGGCCTCCTCCTCGGCGATGCGCCTCTCGATGGCGGCCAGCGACTCGGGGACGAAGGGGCGGAAGCTGTCAGGTCCGGGCGGTACAAGCAGTTGTGCCATCTTGTCATCCTGCTTCTTCAGAGGGCAACGAGGGGCTCAGCTGGGGCGGGGAGCTGCAGCGAGAAGGGAATGGGTCAGGGGTCAGAGCCAAGCTTCTGAAAAGAGTCAGTTCAAACCTATAGGTGACGTCAGGGAGGCTACGTCCATCTTTGTTTACAGTGTATGGTTGGGAACCACTGTTCTGAACAATTTACAATCAGTTGATCTGCGGTTAATTATTGTCTTTGCTACTTAGAGAAATTCATTACAATCGTCAGGCACTGAGAGTGACCGGCATGACTTCAACCTGGTGCTGCTGCAGCTTTTACATTAATCCAACAGCATTCAGCTCAGACTGTTACTCAGTCTGACCTCAGTTTACGTAAAAGTGACTCAGACACTTGTGAAACATTTACACAAAGAGCTTAATGACTAAAAGGAGCTAAAAGAAAAATGACCTGAGTTCATTCGTTTGACCTTAACTCTCAACTTATTTGTACATGAATGGAATTTCCTCCTATAGGCGTCTTATCACACAAGGATGGAGACACTGCGGAGGTAATACAGAGCTGCGTTTGAAAGGCTGGAGGAGAAAAACATAAAAGACAACATGTTTCACATGCAAATGGCTGATGGAGTGACTAATACCAATTTGAGTGCTTTACTGTATAACACAATGGCCTGACGTTTCCAGCTGGGCTCTCTGCTGTCTGTTTTATAACCGATGACTGATGACTAGAAATCATCACATGGACAAATTACAAACTTAACATATTGATATGAATTTGTTTTGTTTTGGGAACAAACCAACTGTCCGCTAAAAGGCAGATTTATGCTTCTGTTCTTTAGAGGAGATTAAAAAAAATGTGGTGCGTGCCGTGCTGACCTCTGGGCACAGTGTTTTAATCAAAGCAGTGAGAGGTCACAGGTAGGGTGGAGGTTTTAGAGAGGCAGTAAATATGGGGTCTGACGTTGGTGACACGCCTTCAGCTGATTCACAGGGGGACACAGAAATAGCTAGCAACAGCTGAGGTGGACAGCATGAGAAAAAGACAAGCAGAGAGAACATGATCTTGCCACTTCCTCCCATTTACTCCTCTGTTTCAGTCTATTTATTTCTGCATCTGTAAATGGTTTTTAAAGAGTTGGAGGCAGCACTTTCCTTTTATTGAATAATTAATATTTAATTAATGGCCTCAAGTTAGAGAAAAATTGAATGAATGAACTGTTTTCATAGTAGCTTTCATCAGTAGAAAGTAACTTCGCTGAGTGATTGTAGATCGGCAACAATCAGCAGCTACTGTCCCACCCTTCACACCCAGAAGCCCATCTTGTTCTCACAGGACAAAGAGGGAAGAAACACAAACAAGATCTCCCCCAAAAACCCTGGTGAGCCATTATCAGCGCAACCTTGGTGCCATCCAGTCTCTGCAGTCTCACAGGTGGGCCTAGTTCCTCCTGGGACACTGTACTGGCCCAGAAAACAGGAGCCTCCCTCCCTCTGGCAGAATCTCAAAAGTGACGTCTCCTTCAGTCATCAGTTTTTTAATGGTTTTTCCAAATGGAGCAGAGATGCTTTCGCAACCTAATTTTCTTTCCATTTGGGTAGAGCAAGAGGACATTTTAAGCTTGTTGACATTCAACCCGAGTGGCAAGCAACTCAAGGGAAGGTCTGGAACACGGTGTAATCCACCAAACACAGTATGATAAAAATATGAGTTTGAGCTTCATGTGTCAGGCCCAACAGAACCAACTACTACTTAACTTATTACAAAACCTCTCAAAATTCATGATAATATCAAAAACATACTGACATTACTACAAAATCGTCCTGTAAAACACCTTGTTCTTAACAGTAGAAACTACTTGACATGAGTTAGACGAGAATATTGATGCCACTTTCATGTGTGCACGGCAAATATGAAGCCTTTGCCAAAAGCTTGTTAGCTTAGCTTAGCATTAAAAATGAAAACAGTAGAAAACTGCTAGCCTTGCCTTCCCCAAAGGTTAAAAAAATCATCATCAAATCAACTACAGCCAATTATTTGTAACTAAAAATTCAACTGTGTTTTGAACATTTAAACACTACCACACTATCACAAACCGTTTGTCTTAATGTCAAACCACACATAAATGTTTAATTATAACCATTTCTAGACGAGGGAGCCACAGCAGCCAGCTAATGTTGTGTTTCAAAGAATTCATCAGCCATAACTGTGAATTAATTGTAGCTTCTCCCATAGGGGCGTCTCATAAAACACATCTGCTTGTGTCCCAAAGACTGCCCCGGGACCCGCGTTGTGATGCGAGGACTGACAGCTTGTCTAGCATGAGCTGCTGGGTGGTGGGGGCGGGGGGTTGCAAAGCCTGATCGACCCTGTAGGTCTAACATCCACACCCACCTCAGAGCCCCAGCTATCAGCATGGTCAACCCTGGAGTCAAATATAACATGACAGGCTGGAAACATATAGGGACAGATGACATTTCCGCACATGTATGATATTCATCACATGATACAGCCTATACTATCTCCAGTGCACATCAAATCTTGTTGTGATATTTCAAGGGTTATCTGCGGTTTTCAAGTATTTCCACACAATGACACAACGCTGTTGCTAGGCAATAAAAAAAAAAAAAAGCCTCAGAATAATTTATCTCAATCTTTTTTCTAAGGGTCACAAAAGGAGCCGTCACACCGACCTCTAAATGATGACATGAAATCTTGACGCAAGATGTCACGCTCTAAATCTTTCAGCAAGGTGGTCAAGCGGTTAAATGATGAGGTTGAAATAACACTCAAATGTCCATGTGCTGGACAGAGATGCCAAAAATGTCTTCAAAAGTTAAGCCAGAAGTCTGATTCAGAGTGTGTATCTGTCTTTTCTCGTCTTACTCTTCCTCCACCACAGCTCAAACAAAATACTGTCTACTGAAGCAAAAACACTGAATTTAGCACTAAAAAGACTGTAACTTTACCCACGATACACACTTTGTGTAATTCGGACAGGTGAAGCCTCATTTCAGCTTCAACTGTGGAACAGTGAGAATCCATTTATTGCACGAGTATTGTTTTAAGACAGACTTTAAGACATGTGAACTTCACCTTTACACAACATGCCCTCCTCTAAGAGCCCTCAAGCAAAAACACTAGCTCTCTTTTTCCACGGACAGACATTTCACTTTCCAGGGGCAGCTGCTTCAGAAAACAAAACAAATGTGCAACCTACCTGCGTATCAGACATTTTGAAAAGACCTAACAACAATACATCATCTCTGGAGTGTTTACCTGCTCACTGCTAATCCTGCTAAATCTACCTCAGTTGTTCAGATTTCATGTGAATGACTGAAACTGCAGCTGACATGGTGTCAAAGGGGCGCTGCTGTCCATGGTGCTTAAAGCAATGGCGGCCTGTGAAAACAAACAGAAACCCACCGAAACTATGTGTTTAAATACATTTAAGCTACAACAACATGTCTGTAATATTCATATAGATTTGTGTCACTACAGCGAGTTAATTGTGACCTTAAAGCACTTTTTCTTTTGCATCCCCTTCCTTTAAAAGTGGCTAAAGGTAGCAGACGTTTACGTATGACACTTCTATTTTAATTTGGAGCGGCCATATTGATTTTCTTAACAACTAATATGGCTAATTAGAAAATCAGAAATACAGAGACGACGGGTGTCAGACGACATGCTACCTTTAATTGTCGCGGTTTCAAAAGGAGCCGAGGGGGCCGCGGCAGCTGTCGCCATGTTGATGATGTCTCCGCTTCATCTCCACGACTCCGACAAAACAAACGACACTTTTTGAATTATATCGACCGTTGATTAGCGGCGGCCATCATGTTTCCCCCCTCCTCCTCCTCCTCCTCCTCCTCTCCAGATACGCCACCAGCAGCACGACGACTCGCGGGAGCAGAAAATAACAGGAAAAAAGGCGACGGCACGTAAACACACACACACACACACGCACACAGACACACACACACACACACACACACACACACACACACACACACTCACACACGCCGGTGAGCGACCGACCGAGGTTGAGGCTGTTAATCGCTTCAGCGGCAGCAGCCTCCCATTTACATCCCCGGGAAACCGGTGATGCTCAATCTGGGGTCCGGGAGCCACCCGGGGTCCTTGAACTGTGGATCCAGGAGGGCTTCAGTTTAACTAACATAAATAAATACTAACACGTTCCCCCCGCCTCACTTCTCCATTTTGTTTTAGCGTATACAATTAAATGCTGAACCCACAACAATGAAGGTCAAACTCCAATCAGACACGTTGAAACTGGAGGTGTACTGAGGCTCAGTGATGTAACAGGTCCACAACAAGTCCTGCCATAAACCTCTGAATGGGTCTGAATGAGTCTGGGCGTGTCCTTCCCAGATGTGTCTATGCTTGTAATCAAGACCCTATATAAGCAGCAACTGGTTTACCAGAAATAGAAATAAGCCTTCTTTTAAATTGTCACTATTTATGACATGTCTTCAGAAGGTTTTTTTGTTGTTGTCCTTTTTCCATCAAACATGTAAATAACAGTTAATATTTCACACCAAAAAGGGCCTGTATATAGGGGGAATATATTTAGGGGTGGGGGGATGCTAATATTTGAAACGTATTTTTGTTTGTCACGACGTGGAGGTTATTTTTGTTCATTTAATTTGTTTGCAAATGAAGGAAAAATGTCTTCATATAGTCTGTAACGGTGTATATAACGTCAGTTTAAAAACACCTTCAGTGAATTAGCTTTTATGAAGGGAAGAATAAAGATATATAAAATATGTATTACACTGAGGTTGTATACGCCTATCACGCACGCAATTAGCGGAGGCATATCAAAGATTAAATATAAAAGATATATAAATCACAATACGTTGTTCTTTCATTGCCTATGTCTCAAACAAAAGACATCAACATTATAGTGTTGTTTCGTCTCGGCAGGTCCCGGTATCTTTCAGTGGAGGTAAAATATCATGTTAATAAGGTTGAGAGACCCTTCTCCAAAGATCTGGATATACTCACCACCATTACGGTGCCCAGCAGGTGGGGACCTTGAAGGTAGATCCCATCTCCGAAAGAATAATCCTTTATTCTCGCAGGTATCTTGTCAATTTGAGATTTAAAACCTTTGTCTCTTCCCGAGAAATCCCGTCCGAGAGGTTGGCGGATTATCATATAATAAGCGCTCCTTTGATTTCTTTTTTCTTTTTTCTTTTCTTTTTCTTTTTTTTTTAGCCGCCTTTGCTTGCCGTGGAGAAATCAATCCGCGCTTCCGGTTGGTTAGGCATCACAGGCTGGGAGTGAATGTCCTTAAAGCTGTGACTGTCGCAAGATGGCCTGGATGTGCACTGCTAGAAAATATCAAACTCACGAGGGAAGCAGAGCAACAGCAACCTGTTGTTGTTCAGAATTCAACCATGAATCACATTAAATAGTCGTTTTTTTTCCATAAATAGCCCATAATGCAGATTAGATGAATTAATACTGAGTTTAATTTAATTGAGAGCTCAAATTTGTCTTATTTTGGTAGCCGATTGCCCTATGATAATCAGTACATTAAGGTAATCATCCTGCATATTTATGTTCATTCTTATTCAATTTAATTTGCAAGTTACTTTCTAATAGACCAATGTAACTATAATACACCTGTTTAGTAATGCACAATGCATGACTTTTTCCAGGCATTTACAACAGTGGTCATATGGTAAATAATGAAAATAAAACTAAAGATAAAGATTATTGTTATATCACTTCTAGAAAGTGCAAAAGCCACAGTCACATACTAGTGTATCTTTTAGAAGTTACATTTTTGCTGACTGCTGTTAAGATCAAAATATAGTTTATTAATATGTTGAATGTTATACAAATAAAACTCCACTTCTACATTGCCATTAAAGTATTTTGACTGTGTAATAAAAGTTGGAAGCTGGATTTTATATCTATATAATAGATAAAAATTTATAAAAAAATAAGGAATTTTAGCTGAAAATGAGGTGGAGATTGAGGTGTCAGGAAACAGTCATGTGCACGCTCACGTGGAGACCACATTGGGGTACAGACCTCAACTCCCTCTGCATTTTTCTTGTAAATTCATGCCACCTGGTGGACAGTTGGCTGCATTACACTCACTCGGTTACCTAACGCCTATATTGTGAATTAAGTTTATTTTCTGCTGTAGTTGGGAAACTGTTGCACACAGTAGCATATGGGAAAAACACAAAGGTGGACAAACTGGTGATCCCAGTGCGGGTGTGTGATATGAATTTATCTCAGATGTGTGTGATTTGAATAGGAAGGTAAAGTCTCAGTCAGCAGAGGTAGACACACCCTGTGTAGCATGTCACGCTCTCATGGGCGCAGGCAGTTTCACTTCAATGTGCAAACATAACTGACAACTCCTTGAAACGCACTTTAACAAGCTGCATTTGTTATTATATCATTTATTTTAGTTTTTATTTATAAAAAGTCACTATAAAGTGTCTTTTAATTGTCAAGCTGCCAAAATCCAGACAAGAGAGAGTAGCTGATCAAAGCATGAAGTGTTTAATGGACTTTTTTTTGCCCCTGAGTTTTACCTCTTGCACCACATACAGTAGAGTCTGCCATGACATTCTGGTTTAGGAAGCATGTATGCAGGCTGACAGTATCTGCAGATGTTACCTACAGACCTAGAGATCCACAGTCTCTCTTCTCTATCACTGAAACAAAACAGTAATTCTCAAGGCCACATTTCTACAGAATTTTATAAAGGGTTTTAACCATATATAACACTATAAAATTGGTCCTTACAATGAACAGTGGCAGATGAAGCCTAAAAAAACACTCATTATACAAATTTGACTGTTTGTCAACAATGAAATAATGACATTTGAGGACATTGCTTAAAAGTGTTCATGGTGTAAAACATACATACGGAGTGTCCTTGGTTATCTCCCACTCCACTGGTGTGAGCGAGTTTGCCGCCGCCCTCCTCGACAGCTGTGTGTGACTTCGCTGCAGGTTTCATTAGAAGCAGGGTGATGAATTTGGGAGCCTTGTTCAGCCTGTGGGGTGTCACAATTAGGTTGTAGCATGTCGGGAAGCTTTCAGTGTATAATGCTGCAAATTAGAGTATGGAATAGGAGGAGAAGTATCTCCATTATAATATCCACTGTGTATAACAATCTGATAGCATGTGTCATATCAACACCTGTGATAATAATGAGGACGGCTGCTGATAGCATGTCAATTTAAACAACACTGCCAAGGCCTTAGAGTATGAATCTGGTCATCTGATATGATTTGTGGTTAATTGCTGGTAACTTAACAAATATGTGATGAAGCAGCGGGTACAAATGCTGGAGGATGGAGAAAACAAAAAAAGCTCACTAATGAGATATGAGGCTTAACAGTACAGATAAATGTGGGCTCACTATATGACAAGCAACAGGTGAGTAATGTGTTGCAACAGCTTATAAATGATTATAAACGAAGTAATTTCTGGAAAAACCAAGAGTTTGCATGTACTGTACATACACTTTGATTCTATAAATGTTAAGCTGAAGAACAGTACACCACTTCCTGAGTTTACATGAGCCTACACATGAATGTTGAGCAGAGGATAACACTGGGAAATGAAATCATATTGTTGCCATTTTAATTTCCTTTGACAGGAAACATAAAACTTGTCAGTATCACGCCACTTATTTCCTCACACGTCTCTGGCCCAGTGTGGATTTTATGCTATAGGCCATGTGGTAAATCTATCTCTGTCCTTCTACCTGCTTATCTAACATTAGAGGTAAAACTCCAATGTTTGCTAGGCTAGTGCATGTGTGTGGCCTGGCCCTCTTCCATTTCACAACATGATAAGTGATGATACAGAGCGCCGGACTGGATGGTGTGACTAACAGGCTTTCTGTTCATCTGTTAGTCATCAAAAGAAGTTCATTAACCTAGACAGTCACACAGTGATCTGTTTACTGCAGCCAGCTACTGTAGGAGCTCATTGAGTCTCCACTGACAGACTTCACAATGAGATTACAAGATTACAGCCCGTGTGGACATGTGTTCCCTGCGCTTAATTTGATTAAAACTCCCACTTAACTGCCTGTTACTGCTCACCTACCGCATGCAGATGAATCAAGAGCTGTGTGTCATACTACAGCAGTCTGCCCCATAGATAACATCAATTTGATTCATTAATGAGGTGCAAAACATTTTCTCTACAAGAGAGTTTTGGCTAACTACACATTATTTTTAAATGTAAAAACCAGGAAATCCTTCTCTGAATCAAAGCTAAATAACTCTACAGTATAAGTAAGTACTGTAACAATAAACCAGTGACACTGTGTCAATAATGGGGGGAATATAAGATAATATCTAATAGTTTGAGGCTAATGTGATATTTAAAACAAATAGCACAAAGTAGGTCACTGAAGTTGTCATACCCTCTTTTGGTAATCCTTTCTTTAAACTACAGAGGTGCAAAGATTAAGATAACTTCACCGCCAATAAATTACAATTAAATCTAAAAAATAATATTTATCTAACCCAATAATCTAACAAGACTAAGAGTCTACTGTCACGCTAGCTGTTCGGCTAACGTCAACATGCTAACACGTTTACAGTGACAATGCTAATGTTGCTGATGTTCAGCAGGTATTTTGACCATCTTTGGTGTGTTAGCATGCTAACATTTGGTAATTAGCATAGTAGTATTAGTAGTATTAGCATTAAAATGTTTGCCACAGTACATGAGATAAATACAGAATACACTGAACTTATTGTACTTACTCTTCTGTATGCTGGAAATTTTCCTGTGCAATATATTAAAATATAATTGTGTCTATTAATTATCTGCACAATTAATTAATTACAGGAGTTATTTTTAGTCCACACACCTCCCTCAACTTGCCTCAACTACTTCTACTTGAAGATTTACTATGACAGCCTCAGCTGCCCTGAGAGGACTGATGTGAACTTGTTTCATTCAGCTGGGTTATACAAGAAGGTTGGAAAGACAAATTAATGACACAGAGAAACAAAAGTACAAACAAGACAGTGTGACTTTCCATGGGAACAAAAACAGTCTCATGCAAAACCAAAAGCTCAATATTGTGGATGCAGAGGACGACTGTCAGGGCATTTGTTGATTCACTGCCGTAACTGCTCTGAAGTACTTTCATGTCACATAACCTCCATGTTCAATAAGATATAATACATTGTTTTATTTAACTGACCCTTTAGCATTGATTTACATATACCTTGAAAAACTGTTATCTATTTATGATTCTTTTATCAGAAAAGGGGATGAAGCTTGATTAAATAATTTACATTGAAGCACTGATTGGAGAGCAAGGCTATACAGTATGAAGGACTTACAGCTGAGTAAATATTTAGCCAGATCCTATGGAGAGGATCAGTAGCTTATGTGGATTACAGGCCTTTTTACAAATTGACTCGTATACTCTTTTAGGGAAAAGGTTTCGCTTTGCAGACTGGTTCACCAGGTTACAATGTTAATGCCCGTGTAGATACCCCCCCCCTCCACCACCACTGCCACCCACTAAGCATACACACAGGACACACAAATACAGACATGCAAAGAGAGATCACATGACAGGGCAGGCCCTGTAGGTGTGGTATAGGCTTGTCTGCTAAACAGGGATTGCAAGGGAAAGAGTCCTCACTCCCTCTTCCTCATCCTCTCTCCTCCCATCACTCAATACAGAAGAGAAAGCTGAAAGAGAATGGGAACAATCTATGGACACAGGTAAGTGCAAAATACAATAGACTATAGATACGTACTGTATGTAATCAATGACGTGTCTCTGAATATGGTAGCGTGGAGAGACGCAGCCTTTTAGAAGCACTAATCCCTCTTACTGGGGAAACAGTGTAAGCTTATCTGGAAGTCAGCATTACTGCTTGGACAACATGGCCGAGCACAAACAGGGGCTGAATGGAGCTTGTCCTCAGAAACATTTGTTTGTGGATAAAGACGACTTTTTATAGTTTCATTACAGTATTAATCCAATATGTCAACTATACAGCAGGCTCAGTTTCTCTAAGGCATTGCACTGAGGATTATTTAGCTCTTTCTACCAGTAGAACAATGATCCTATTGTTATAATATGCTTTTGGAAGAATTTATTTATTTATTAAATACTTTTATTTAACAAAAAGTAGAACCAGTGGACAAATAAATGAACAACTGACTGAAAAAGCTATGTTTCAG